TTTTTTTTTAATGTTGTACATATTTACAATAATACAATTTCATTTAAATTCAAATTTGGGAGAATAGAGTGACCACCAGCATATGCTATATAAAAAAAAAATAATAATCTAATCAGTGTTCGCAACCTGAACAGACCAGTCCCCACAAGCAGCACCCGTTCACGAGCATGACGAATGAGCCAGCCATCAAAAATCAAATTTAAAAAAATATATCAAGAAAATCAACAATATAAAGACATGGCTGTATGGGCGCAGTTCCCTTTGCCTCCGATAAAGGATAAGCAGAACTTAAAAAAAAATGACTCTAGTCACATAAAAAAGTTAATTCGCTAAATTAGCGAGACTGGTAATGAAGCTTTCATGAAAGCAACGTAATTAACCACGTAATTCAGTTTACCATAAATTTTCGAAGAAATCTAATTACAATTATCATTAATTATTTTTTTAATTCTCGCGACATTTTTTTCACGTTCCATTCAGACAGAAATCAGCAACGACCTAATTAAGTTTGCTGTTTCTGACAACGGAAATATGTCTTTTGCGTTGAACAAACCACAAAATTCTGTACGTTTATCATATTTTTTTTCAAGAGAGTGTCGTGGTTAATTTGTTTACCGTACCCGATATGGAATACAAAAGTCGTGAATTTAAATACAGTTGCCATTGATAAAACTTTTTAAATAAATATTGCAAAAATTTTAAAAATAACATTAAAAACGAAGTTTAACTTTATTTTTCTAAAATAAAAGTAGCCTAAGTTACTTATTACATCAGCTGCCTGCCAAAAAAAGTCCCGTCGAAATCGGTCCACCCATTTCAGAGATTACCCGGAACAAACAGACAGACAAAAATTGCAAAATTTGTTATTTTTGTGTATGTACCGTATTTATAATCATATACATACACAAACAGACACTCCAATTTTATGTATATGTATAGATTGGTTCTGATAGTCCGGCGAAAGGGCGTGGCACAGACTGGGACTACGGGCCCAAGTGGGGCCCGTCCCGGTCATTAAGCGTCGCGTTGGTGGCCCGCTCCTGCTATGACTCTACTCTTGTAGAGACACGTGCGGAGCTAGTGCGGCTCTGTGTGGGCGGCAGTCTAAGGGGTTCAAGTCTACCGTCCAAACAACAGTGCCGAGATGGGGGGCAGCGCATCCCGTATTCCGGTGCCTTCCCCACGGTGGGCGGAGGCGGGGGAACTGAGAAGAGTTCCCCCCACACGTTGAGGAGGACCTGCTTGCGTGCAACCGCCGAGGTCGCGTTTGACTGCCAGCTCGAGTCTGCGATTGATGACCGGCGAGGAAGAATATCGTGGGGTTTTTGGTGAGTAAGAATCTCACGATACCCGTACGTCCAACCCCTGAGACGGGCGGGTCATCATGAGGAATTTTTCTCACGTAAAAATAAAAATTTATAAAAGTGCAAGCAGAATAGGTCTATGCAGGTGATAGTAGCCCAAATAATAGAAATATAAATAGAAAATAGAAATATAAATAATCTTTATTCAAATAAACTCATTACAATCACTTTTGAATAGTCATATTTTGATTCTACCACTCATTCGGAATGCAGATTCATCACAAGAAGAATGAGCAAGAAACTTGTGTGTTGCTCTTTTTAATAGATGTTTTTTTATATAAATAATTACAGTATAACAAGTAAGAAGCATGCGATAATCAACATAGAAGTCGCTACGCACTAATTATTAATGTAATCAGATAATATTGTCAGTGCTATAGATTTAAAGTTTTTCTATAAAAACATTATTATCGTTAACGAATTCTTTAATAATGTTTTTATAGAAAAACTTTAAATCTATAGCACTATAATAAAAAACAATACCGTTTTTGTTGAGAAAATGCTTTTGATATTAATATATTTAAAAGTTATTTCTATTCTATAATCAAAAATATAAAAAAAAATTATATTATGACACTTGACTCTCTACCATCTCACCATTAAATACATTTTTCAGTCATAAATAGTTTTACTACATATTTCTACAACAGTGTTTTCATTTGAAAATAAAAATGTCAATACTACAGCCAAGAAATGGGCAGAACAGAACTGATATGAATGTTAAGTGCGCAATTTTAAATTACCTACATAATGCAATTACACTGTTCCAAAATACAAGTTACAGTTTCTTCCGCTCAGTAAAAGCCTTCTTAGTGCCTACGTTAAAATAATAATCTAATATAATTAAATAACCTTAATTAAAAGAGGATACGGAGTAAGGAAACTCGTAAACTTGTAATAAAGTTAATGCCACTTAATTTGAGTTAATTCTGTTTGCCAGTCTAATATAAAAGCAAAAAGAAACATTTCCACTTGGAATATTTGATAATATTTACCTATATTTTTTATGTATCTTTTTTTTTATCTAGATTTATTTTGGGGCTTTTGTTTTCAGACATGTCAACCCCATTCAAAAAATTCAAAAATCATTTATTCATGTAGGACATTTTAGCCGCTTAGGAACGTCAAATTTTTACATTATAATTTTATTTTTTTCTCCCTACCGTCCAGTTCGGTATATAGATCCAATTGAGAAGAACTGGCAAGAAACTCAATTGAATTACTTTTTTTTTAAAGCTAGTTTATTTACAATGTATATTTATATAGGTGTCTATGTCTAACATTAAATGAAAATGCAAACTAATCGGAACAATTCTTAAAAATAATAAACAATCAAATAATCTTCGACGGATTCGATTTAGATTTCGATTCGAAATAATTATACGGATAAATAATGACAACGTTTTATATTTATTTACAGTATTTCAACCGCCATGATCCCGGGTAAACTGTCAGTTTACCCTGATCATGGGGGTTGAAATAGTGCCGAAATATCGGGAACTCAGTAAATAAATATAAAACGTGGTAAGATCCCGTGATTTTTACTAATTATACGTATAAATAATTTAAAACAGTATATTTACATTGTGTATTTATATAGGTGTCTATGTCTAACATTAAATGATAATCACGTGCATGAACAACTATTGCCATGCACGCTCGTCATTCAAGTAATCGTTTAGTGAGTAATAGGCTTTGATACAACAAAAAAACTAAATTCAAACTTATTTATATATTTGATTCTTCAAAAGTAACTTTCCGTTATTTATTCGTATCCTTCCATTACAACGGAGATGTTTCAAAACATATTATCGTTTTACATTACGAAAATGTATTAGAAGATCACATCTTAAATGGCACTTTAATATTAAGAGCATAGAGTTTAAACTTCGAAGTGGGATGATCTCTGTAAATGTTTTGCGAACGACATATGGTAATAGTGTCTGAAATATGCAGTGCTCATCTTAGACGTAAAAGGATGGGCAATCTGGAACGTGTAGTGAATGAGGACAGACACGATGCATTTACTTTATATGTATATATATATACCAGCTGTGCCGGCGATTTCACCAGCATGAAATTTATACTATACTAGCTGACCCGGCAAACGTTATTTTGCCATATAAATTAAAATCGCTGTTAAAAAATAGGGGTTGATGCTACAAGGGTGAAAATTTAGGGTTGCATGTATTTTTAATGCCGAATCTTTTGTTTTTTAATAATAAAAATAAAATATGTCGAAAAAATAAAACATATATATTTAGGGGTGGATATCCCTTACCACTGCGATGATGATGATGATGATCCCTTACCACTTAGTGGTATGAAAAATAGATAATAGCCGATTCTCAGACCTACTGAATATGTATATAAAATTTCATAAAAATATATCGAGCCGTTTGGGAGGAGTATGGTAACTATCATTGTGACACGAGAATTTTATATATAACATGTTATTCTGATGTATAAGCTGTATTACTGTAAAGTTACATCAAAATCCGTTAAGTTTTTGCGTGAAAGAGTAAAAAACATCCATCCATACTCACAAACTTACGCATTTATAATATTAGTGTTATGAGTTATCATCTCTTGAGAATATGATAATTCATTTTCAACATAATTACATTAAGTTTAATTTATAAGTAGGTATATTCTAATTCAATTACACCCAAACAAACCTCTAATAACTGTACACATCGGTTAGAAACCTAATTAATGCGAGAATTAAATTATCTCAATTAATACACAATCCTTCTGGATTTACAATTTTATTACGCAGTTAAGGAAATAAAATTAATAATGTTTTGTTATTTGATCAAAATATTAATATATTTTATTGGATTAGATGTTATTTTGCAAAAATCCATGAAGAAATAGGTGCCGTGAGGTCAAAAAGCTGCTATTGAGGGTCAATTAAAACTACCATTCAACAGGGCTAATAGGATATTTATTAAAAAAAATACTATATTAAAACGAGAAACATCTTAATAGGGCCATTTACATTTACCTGTGGCGCCATCTAGTTTGCACGGAGAACTAATATAATATTTGTAACTATCTTAAACGATACATTTTATTAATTAGTGGTGTTGTATTATTTTGTTTAAATCCGCTACAATTAGCATGTGTGAGACCACAAATGTCCAGTGCGGAAACCTGACAACCGCTACTGGAAACGTTACGACTAGAGGATTTGATCCCGGGATCTCGGACGAAATTTCGGTACCGAAAATCTCGGGATTTTATGTAACAAATCCCGGGATTTTCGGTATTAACAAAAATTTTTACGATTTCATAACTTTAGTGTTTTTGCAGGAAACGAAAAGAATTTAATGTCAATTTAACGTTTATCGGCCATCTTGAATATTTTGTGCGGTAATGGTGTTGGCCATTTGGTGTGGTATTAAGTATGATTGTTCATCATCTACGCAAATACGAAAACTTTTTTAAAATTTTCTTTGTTCCTTATTTAAAAGTTAAAATTAAAAAAATGTATTACACATACAATCAGTTATTACGCATGCAATATTGTGCTAAGCTGTATAAGTATTAATTCCTTTGCCTATCTTTTACAAATAAATAAAAAGTAAAAATAAAAAATATATATTTATACGCCATATTGAATAATATCTAGTCAACAATATTGTGTTATATAAAAATAATAAATTTCTTCAATTTTAATTTAAGATGGACGATGAGCGGTTTGAATTGAAACCGTATCTCACCGTATCTGACCTTCGGAACAGTATAGATTCATCAGTAGAGACCACTAGCAACTCCCCAGCACCAGAAACAAAGTGTAGTACATTTGACGAAGGGTCTTGTGGTGAACCATTGCTGTCTCAACATTTGGTGATAGATTTCTCCCCAGTCAAGGAGTTAGATAATGATGTTGTACAAAAGAAATGTTGTGCATTTTGGAAATTCATCCAGAGTCATCCTGAACTGCAGAATTTGATAGAACCTCCAGTTAGTAACATACCATAAGAAATTTTCTCGACAGTTCATTTTATTTCATTTATTCTTCATTATATTTTATATCCAACGCCTTCTCCCGTTGGATGCGAGCAGCGCAGGACCGATCGTCGTGGAGATCTTTGGGGGGGGGGGTGGCCTTTGATCAGCAGTTTATATTCTAGCGTTCAATTTTTATATATACATGCATAAAGACACAGTGGTGAATATATGATTATTTTATATGTATTATGTTTGTGTTGTTTAATATATATGTATATATACTAATATACTAATAAATATATGTTTATGATACATATTATTATTATTATAACACTTTATTGCACCATAAAGGACATGAACAAAATTAAAAACAAAAAAAAAACTAAGTACAAAAGGCGGTCTTATCGCTAATGCTATCTCTTACAGACAACCTTTGGAAAGAGAGTATTTACAAAAAAAAATAGAGTAGGTGGCGCATTAGTAAAGCATATTGTTATTTAAATTTAAAATGTTCCTGCTACTGAGCTGCAAAGTCATATTTTGTTATCTAACATTATAGAAATATAACGGTCAACCACCGGACGAGCATCTTCTGCTTTACCGGGCACTCGTCCGATTGTGGTAGCACGGTAAAGGTGGAAAGTGTGTGGAATCTTCTAAAATAAGGTTATCCTCATCCTGACTTTATAGGTAGAGATGTGCTAACTCGTAATAAACCTGACTCGAGTTAACTCGAGTTGACTCGAGTTACCTGGAATAAAAAGTTTATTTTTTTATTGTTCGAACAATTCTAATGTTTTTGGACACAGCTAGCCTTGTAAGCTTCACCAAACCATAGGGGGCCAGTAGAAATGGCACTTTAAAGCCGCTGAAGGACTTATGGAACGCATAATCATTTTAATAATAACATAATCGGACGAATGTGCGAAAAAAATGATAACAACCTCAAATCAATATTGAAATATTTGGGACGAGTGAAAATTGTGTGATATGAAATGATCGGAAAATTTCATGTCATTATCGGTTCGATGACAGAATCATGCTCTCGATCTTTCACTTGATTCGTTCATTTACCAGTTGAATTCTTCCAACTTGAGTTTGCATAATTCTACTCGAGTTAACTCGAATTCAGCGCAACTCGAGTAAACTCGAGTTGACACATCTCTATTTATCCCATATCCAGGGTCAGTCAGCCCATTTTGGCGATTTCACCAATAATATTTTATGAGACATTTAAAAACAAAACAAATTATTCCAGAACACAAATGTATATCCCGATATATCTGTATCAAATGATATCACGTATCAAGATGAAAGAACAGGCACAATTAAGGAGCCCGAAGTGAAAGAGATGACTGCAGTTTCCATGCTGGAATTCGTAAGGGAAGGTTTGTTTTAAAAAATCTTAAGAGATTTTTTCCCCGAGATCCCTCTCGTTCGTTACATTGGAATTGTTAAGTTAAAAAAGATCAGACTCAACCTTTATGTGTTTTTATCTATGGTCTTGTCTCCGGGAAAATATAGATGTAAGCTTTATGGTTAATTGTCTTTAGTTAATGGATCTCTGTATTTGCTATAAAAGATTTAAATATCTGGGAATAAAGAAACAAATTATATTATATCAGGAACAAACAAGAAGGGAATCAAAGAAGTGCTCTAGCGGTCTAGCACACCGCTTTACGACCGGTCGTGGGTTCGATTCCCCGCACAGCACAAACATTTGTATTCATGAGTATGATTGTTTGTATCGGTCTGGGTGTTTTCTATGTATAATATGTATATATTTACAAAAAAATCTATATACATATATGTTTCAGTTATCTAGTACCCATAACACAAGCTTTAGCTAGCTTAACTTGGGTCTAGATGGCGCTGTGTGAAATGTCCTGAGATTATTATTATTACTATTATTCTCTCTATCGTCTCATTCTCTCAGCTTTTGCTGGTTTTCTGCACACTTACGGGCCGAAACCAAGTAAGTGCACTGTGTGTGTGTATGTTATGTTATTATTATTATTATAAGAACAGTGTTTTTATTGTGAACATTCACAAATATTACTAGGAATTCGTAGAGAAAAAAGGTTTATCATTTTGTAGACAATCTTAGAAGAATTTTTCTCTATCCCTCTCGTTTCTTAATCAATGCTTAACTCAACTTTGCTTTGTATTATTCCGCTACCATTACGGTGTGTGAGACCACAAATATTCATTGCGGATATCCGATCACCCCAACTAGAGGCGTTCTGAGCTACTCTTTGATGATCAAATTCCGACCGTTTTTAGGTCTACACTCATATTGCAACACGTGTTTCACCTCTGAACGAGGCATCAAAATTCAAAATTCAAAAATCATTTATTCATGTAGGATATTTAGGCCGCTTATGAACGTCAAATTTTTTCATTCTAATTTTAATTTTTTCCCTACCGTCCAGTTTGGTATATAGATCCAATTGAGAAGAACTGGCAAGAAACTCAATTGAAATACTTTTTTTAAAAGCCAGTTTATTTATATAGGTGTCTATGTCTACCATTAAATGAAAATTCAGTGCATGAACATCTATTGTCATGCACGCTCGTCATTCAAGTAATCGTTTAGTGAGTAATAGCACAGATAACATAATATTCTTTGCTCAATAAATATGATTTAACAGATGCTTTGAATTTATTTAAAGGTAATTCCAACATATCCTTTGGTATCTTATTGTAAATTTTTATACCTATTCCCATAAAAGACCTATTAACTTTTTTTAAACAATACTAGGGGACAGCAAGTTTGTCTTTAAATCTAGTATTAATATTATGAATATTGCTGTTTTTTGGAGTCACACATTGAAAAGAATTAGGATATAGCTTGGAAGCTAGGCTTCCAAGCTATATCCTAATATATATCCTATATCATAATCCTTGTTGACCGGTTCGGCGACCAAACTGCGACAAAATATGGTAGCAGAATTAAACGAAATAATTATATACTTCCAGCCTATTTCGGCCACGGCGACTGTCTTCGACTCCAGTTTTGTCGTTCATGTGCTCGCATGTCACTTATGTGGCCAATTTTATTTGTAAAAATCCTCGCTCATTGCGGGCATGAGGGCACACCGCTCACATAATTCTAGCTCCATTTTGGCGAATGTGCTCAAGATCAAGAACTGCACAACCTCATTCCTCCAGCACCGTTTCATCAACGTACAGCAAGACGTGGAGAGTGGCTCCACCCCTACACTATTGATATCCCCTGCTCGAACTAAGCGTTTTGCATCATCTTTCCTTATGCGAGCAGCTAAGGAGTGGAACTCTCTACCAGCATCTATTTTTCCTGCCTCTTACAACATTGGGTCTTTTAAGTCAAGAGTGAATAGGTATTATTTGAGCTTGCGTGTAACAGCTTAGACCACATCATCACTTAAGATCAGATGAGATTGCAGTCAAACGCGCTCAAATTTTAATATAAAAAAAAAGCTGATGCCGCAGGTGGTTGCTTTCACCGCGTTGCATCTGGCATCCAGCTCAAGAATCCGTCGGTTTTACGAAACAACACACAACGGAAACAAAATAATAAAAATCCATTGAGTAATGAAAAGAGTTTCCGAAAAGTAACTCCAAATTCTATAAAATTTATATATTTCTACCAAAGCAAATATATAATGCAGTATTTACCATACTTGCAATATTCCATAAAGGAATACTGATAATGTTGCGGGTAATGATACGATGTTGTTGGTCGAGACGATGTATATTACAGATGATGATAAACTGACAATATGTACATAGAAATAATGATCTTATATACTAAATAACAATAGGAAAATGTAAGGTGGGGTGACACAGTTTAGATACAGCAGTGCCTAGTAGACAATATTGAATTTGTCTGACTAGACATTATTAAATGCAATTATTATTTTATGTATCTAGGTGACTGTGTCCCATAAGTTGGCTCTAAATATAATGAAGAAACATCTATATAATTTACGAAGTTGTAGATAAGTGCGTTGAATTGACTACGTTGAAACTGTTTTGATAATTGAACCGGCAAAAGTTGTTTTACCATATAAATTAATATCGCTATTAAATACATAGTGATTGATATTAGAAAAACGGAAATTTAGGATTTTATATGAATGGCGACAGACCGCCAAACTCCTTTAATATTATTATTATTTTTATTATTTTTTTTAAGAGTTCATATTTATATGCCATGTTATTTGATATACTTGACTTCATTATTGGTTCATTGTCATTTAGATAATTTAAAAGTGCCAGTTGTTCAGTATGTTGCCAGTGAGTCGGAGTCTCTCTGAGTGATCGAATCAGAAATGAGATCCGCAGAAGAACCAGAGTGATCGACATAGCCCCAAGAATTGCGACACTAAAGTGGCAATGGGCAGGGCACGTAGCTCGTAGGACAGATGGCCGTTGGAGCAGTAAATTCTTTGAGTGGCGACCGCGGACCGGAAGATGCAGCTTGAGAAGGCCTCCAGCAAGGTGGACCGACGATCTGGTCAGGATCGCTGGAAGGCATTGCAGGACCGATAGTCGTGGAGATCTTTGGGAGAGGCCTTTGTTCAGCAGTGGACGTCTTCCGGGTTGCGATGATGAATGATGCAACAAACAACTGCACATTAATATATTATATTATTATAAACTACGTGTTTTCATCGTTTAGACACCCACACAGTACACCGATACATTACAGTATATATTTTTAATGCAGAATCATAACAAATATTTCATACAATATTAGTTATTTCAAACAAAACATTTTGCTCTGAGTATAAAAATACCATTTAAGGTTGACCACCTAACATATGAACTATCAAATTTTTGTATTCTTTGAACAGGTCTCATCGATCATCGGACGTTTGAAGCGAAACTGCCTCGGTTCTTCTGCTCATTAGGCTCTAGGGAATACCCTGATAATGTTTCATCTAACAACCCACGCGACGCAACTAATAAACATAAAATGAAAACATGTAAGATATCTCCTGTATACACAACAATATCTTTAGTTAAATCATTTATATTTATATTATTTTATTTTATTTCGCTACTATTCATATATTTGAGACCGCAAACATTCCTGCGGATACCTGACCACCGCTACTGGAAGGGTTACGACGACAAAATGCAAATCCATTAAGTAATGAGATGGATGAATGAAACTTCCGCAAAAAAACACCGAATTCTAAAAAAAATCGGCCTCGCTGGTCCAGCGGTTTAGCACATCGCTTTACTTCCAGTGGTCGGGGGTTCGATTCTTTGCACTATGCAAGTATTCGTATTTGTATTCATGAGTATAAATCTTTGTATCGGTCTGAGTGTTTGTTGTGTATATTATGCATGTATTTGCAAAAAAATGTTAACTAAATATTTACATCAGTTGTCTAGTACCCATAATACAAGCTATTCTTATCTGACTCTCCAGTGATGTAAAGATCAATAAAATTAAATTAATCTGAGACAAAGAGAAAAGTTCACCCGCTGTTACATTGGATTAAACTCGGCGAAAGATGGGCATGTATGTAAATACATTAGAGATACCAGGAGAGTATTGGTAATTTGGTATTAAAAGAAGCATTCCTGGTGTTCATGACCCTCAGGTCGAGCTTGCTTCTTTGCTTGCTTATTGGTTGCTTCTTTCAATTCTTCTTTTAATTCCTTAATAACTGATTGTAAAAATAATTTATCTCACAGATGTACTACTAGTGCCTTAAAGAATATATATATTACCAACAACCATTACATTTTGTTCATATAGCTTGTAACTGCACTGGCGTTTGTAAAAATTGCAAGAAAAGACCTTATAAAGCAACCGCGAACTCTCAGACAGAATTGCAAGTTTTATGTGAGAAAATGCGAGTGTGGGATCAGGAGCATCCTAAGTAAGTTCATTATCTGCAGATTTTGCTAAACTCCATATGGGGAGATAAAAACCATCGCTCCTAAGAATATCCTTCAATTCTTGTCCCTGACGGGTCTAGGTAGCGAACTCTGAGGAAGTGTGAGCACAATAGATCTATGTAGTCGTAGTGCTACAGGTGCTACAGGCACTTGACAATAACCTAAACAATACAAAAAAAAGTTAATTATTATTCCTATACTTTCTGTTAGTCCTGTGACTTAGTCAAATATTAACTGATTGCACATAGAATGAGTGCGTAGCGGTTTCTATCTTGACGCATGCCTCGTCTATTTATTTAAAACAACATTAATTTAAAAGAGCAACACGCAAGTTTCTTTCTCATCTTCTTATGAATTCAAGCCTGCGATCCGGATGAGTTGTAAAAATCATATATCTTTGATTTTACATCTCAATATTCAAAACTGCTTATATTAAGTTTAGAATAAAGATCATTTCTATTTGTATTAATATGATATCATTGTTTTACGATGCAGGTCACTGGAACCCCCTGGACATCCGCCATCTCTCAACCACTGCATAATGCAAAATCAAATCCTACTTTGATGATATTGATCTTCTTTACGATATTTACATAATTTTGCTAGTGGTAATTGATAGTATTTTGCTTTATCGATTTATAGTTATAATTATATTAAAGTCTATTTACATTTAATAGTTCTGGTTTTTTTGAGGAAGATGTTCGAATATATAAAATCTTATGCCCCTCTAAAGTTAGTTCTTTCCCAAATTCTAAACCTGTCGGCCGCAGATGGCCTTTTCAGCCCACTCATTGCTACAAACTAGAGATGTGTCAACTCGAGTTACTAACTCGAGTTGCGCATAATTCGAGTTAACTCGAGTTGAATTCTGCCAACTCAAGTTGGCAGTATTCAACTGGTAAATAAACGAATCAAGTGAAAGAGCGAGAACATGAGTGTCGTTGAACCGACAATGGCATGAAATTTTCCGATGATTTCATATCATACAATTTTCACTCGTCACAAATATTTCAGTATTGATTTGAGGTTGTTATCTTTTTTTTTCGCATATTCATCCGATTATGTTATCATTAAAATGACTATACGTTCTATAAGTCCTTCCGCTGCTTTAAAGTGTCAGTTCTACTCGCCCCCTATAGTTCGGTGAAGCTTTCAAGACTAGCTGCGCCCAAAAACATTAGATTTGTTCGAAATAATAAAAAAAAAAAAATATTTTTCAACTCGAGTTAAATCGAGTGACGTTTATTACAAGTTAGCACATGTCTACTACAAACAATCAATAAAGTGGAAATGTCAAAGTCAAATTTCTTTGATATGTTTCAATATTATTTTTAAAAGTACACATTTTGCTATACTTTTAATAAATTTAGAAACCCTTTTTGGAAAATATTGGATATGATAAAATTGCCAGTGTTGAAGCGAGATCCAAAAAAAGCAGAAGATCTTTGCAAGTAAGTATTTTTTAACTTGTGTTAAACAAACTTGCAAGCTACCTCAGTTGAGGGCTATTGGTAGAGTTATATGTTTTATTTATTTGTTAGATGTAGACCAGTCTGCAAGAGCCGCAGACGAGAATGGAAAGGTCGAATACAGAACACTTCCGCTGAGATCCTCCTCGAGAGGAAACCATTGCCAGAGTGCTTTAGAAGATGCCCAACGGTATTAAGATTATAAAGATAGTTGAAGTACAGTTAATATTTGCAATTTATTATAAACTGTGGTCCGGATGACTGCGAACAGGGATGAATGGAAGAGAAAAACATATTACGCCGACCCCAAATAAATGGGATAAGGATGAAGCAGATGATGATGTGGTCCCATATGATGGAAAATGGACTCTATCGGCTATACCTTACAGCTCCATGTATATCACAAAAACATTAGTGGAGCTGATGAAATCGTCGTGGTCTAATAGGTTTACTAACCTGAATTACGCCCAAGTGGTCGTAAGTTGAAATCTGACGGACACCAAAAAAACATTGTGTAAAATTATATTTCTGCTTGGCTCTCTGATAAGGGAGGTGAATGGGATTGTTAGGGAGGGAGGTGAATGTAGACTAATAAACTAATTGCTACCACTGTACCACGTCAAGTGGTGTGTGTGACCTCCGCGCTATCCCCTCTGGAAACTAACGTGATTTCCTGGTGAAATTTTCACGATAGGCTAACTCATGACCATCTTACCATCCTCTACGGAGTTATGGGTACTAGATAACTGTTATATACATGGGATTTTTCATTTATTTCTCCGTCCTTGTTTTGTTGTTTTTACATAGATATTTTTTTTTTAATTATTACCGCCATCTAAGCTAAGTAGAGCTTGTGTTATGGGTACTAGATTGACTAACTAATTGCTTCATAATTATCAGCCCACTACAGTCCACTGCTGGACATAGGCCTCTAAATATAATCGCTTACGTACATTTTTTTTGGAAATACATACATAATATACATAGAAAACACCCAGACCGATACAAACAATCAGGAATACAAATGTTTCTACTGTGCCACGAATCGAATCCGCAACCATCGATTGTACAACGGTGCCTAAACCGGTAACCAAGATCGTTAATAAAGTTATCCTTATTTCAGAAAATAGACCCAAGTCCGTTATCCGTAATTCAGAAAATATACCCAAGTCCGTTATCCTTAATTCAGAAAATATACCCAAATAGTCCGTGTCCTCTATTCGGCCGCCCTAGTTTTATCCTTAATTCAGAAAATATACCCAAGTCCGTTATCCTTATTTCAGAAAATATACCCAAACAGCCCGTGTCCTCTATTCGGCCGCTCTTGTCGAATGGTCGATGGTAGAAATACCACCACCCCGCACGTGGTTCGAGTTTGCCAAGCTCCCGTCGATAATATGGTTGACACACCATACTTGAAATATGCCAATATGGCGAAGAAACTTGGTAAGAACCGTCTAGAACATGTCAGGACAGGAATGAATTTGATCTAGAACATGTCATTTTCATTGTGTTCATTTTTAAATATTCTTTTTCTGTGACCGTCGTTATTTTTTTTATACTATGATAGTGGCAATCAAGCATACGGCCCATCTGATGGTAAACGTTTATTGTAGCCTATGACGCCTGAAACACCAGGTGTATAACGTGCGCGTTGCCGACCCTTAAGAAACCTTAATATACCCTTCTTGAAAACAAAACCACAACAATATACCGCTATTGTTGTGGTTTGTGTTGTAATAAGTTTCTTCTATTCTATTCTATATTCAAAATCAAATTAAAAAAATCATTTATTCATGTAGGACATTTTAGTTGCATATGAAATTTTCTATAAGTATTATAATTTTTTCCCTACCGTCCACTTCAGTATATAGATCCAATTGAGAAGAACTGGTAAGAAACTCCATTGAATTTCTATTCTGTTCTATATTAAAAATCAAATTAAAAGATCATTGATTCATGTAGGACATTTTAGTTGCATATGAACGTCAAATTTTTTATAAGTGTTATATTTTTTTCCCTACCGTCCAGTTTAGTACCTATATAGATCCAATCGAGAAGAACTGGTAAGAAACTCCATTGAATTACTTATTTTTCTTTTAACGCCAGATTATTTACAATATTTACTCATAGGTGTCTATGTTCTAACATTAAATGAAAATCCCGTGCATGAACAACTATTGCCATGCACGCTCGTCATTCAAGTAATCGTTTAGTGAGCAATAGGCTTTGCTCAGTAAATATGATTAGACAGATGTTTTGAATTTATTTAAGGGTCATCAACTCTCAATTGAATTTCTTTTTTTAAAGCAGTTTGTTTACATTTTATACTTATAAATAGGTGTCTATGTCTAATGTATAGGTACATATAAATAAAATTGAACTGTCTGTTTGTAATATTGAAATAACCGTTTTTTACTACAAGCATATGAATATATATACGGTGCATACACCAAAATAAGATTTTTTATAATTTTTGTCTGTCTGTCTCTCGGTCTGTTTGTTCCGGCTCTAATCTCTGAAATGGCTGGACCGATTTTAACGAAACTTTTTTTGGCAGGTAGCTGATGTAACAGGGAGTAACCTAGGCTACTTTTTTTTAGAAAAGAAATATTTTAGAAAAAAGTTTAAAAATAAATTCCACGCGGATGAAATCGCGGGAACAGCTAGTATTAAATGAAAAGACCGTGCATGAACAACTATTGTCATGCACGTTTATCATATTGTTCAAAATCTACCCTGTATCATCGTAAGCACAGATTATTATATTAGAGTCCGTTAGTTTGTGTTCCCGCGCAGTTCCTTCGCCCCTCCCTTACCTAGTACTGAACCGACTGTACGGCGGCCATGACGCGCGCGCGCATTGTGTTGTGAATTAAAATAAATTAGAACTGTGAAACCTACTGTGAAACTGGAAAGCTAGTGAAGATATCATCGAGACCCTGAAGCCCAAGAAATGCGCAGAACCATACAGGTACGTGACTGACGCTTCCACTCATTTTTCACTATATATATACAGAGAGTAAATTCCCTAACATTTTGGTAGCAGAGTAGTTTACCAAAAACATATACATCTCCGAACATGATCATATAGGAGCATGGGATGCTGTACGAGCTTGCTGCGCCTTCTGTACCTGCGGCCAGTGCTGCCCCTGCGGCATCAGTGAGTATGTACCGCACGACGCGGAGAGAGCGTCCCGACGGCGGACTGACATGCGCCACTTCGATGCTCGCGTCAAAACTGACTGTCACAAAATGAGGATTATGTATGACTAGTTGGTACCCGCGTCATCGTCCATGTGTTTTATTTTTAATAAAAATTTTCTGTAAAGTTATTTATTATTGAACTGAAAACCTGTTGAAGATCTGAAAAAAATAAAATCCCAGAACATCATCATCATCGCACTCCAGATCTCCACGACGATCGGTCCTGCGCTGATCGCATCCAATGCCTTCCAGCGATCTTGACCAGATCGTCGGTCCACCTTGCTGGAGGCCTTCCCACGCTGCGTCTTCCGATCCGTGGTCGCCACTCGAGGACTTTACTGCCCCAACGGCCATCTGTGCTACGATACTAGGTACTAATGGTATATTTAAATATATTCTGTAATAAAAATATGTTCATATATTTTTCGGACTACTCTAATGCTGTTGGCCGCAGCTGGCCTTTACAGCTTCACCGGACGATAGCGATCTACTGTATGAAGAGTCGTGACTCATTAAGAGAGAAATTCAAAGAGGCAAATATTCTCACCGTTGCTTCTCAATTTATATATTCAAATATCCTATATGTTCATAAAAATCTTGACTTATTTCCAAAAAACAGCATATTCATAATATTAATACTAGATTTAAAGACAAACTTGCTGTCCCCAAGTATCGTTTAGAAAAAGTCAATAGGTCTTTTATGGGAATAGGTATAAAATTTACAATAAGATACCAAAGGATATATTGGAATTACCCTTAAATAAATTCAAAACATCTGTTAAATCATATTTATTTAAAAAATCAGAACAATCTTTTGTAGTATAAATAGAAAGTATAAATAAATAAATAAAAACTCGTGTAAATATTCCAAAAGGATAACAACGTATAGAACCTATGTCGAGGCCATTTTGGTCGCAAACGCAGCTTTCAAAGCATCTGAAACACAGGTATACAATATATTAAATCTGTAAGAATCAGCCGTCTTTACACGGGGGTTACAGTGGTACAGCCGCACCCGGGCGCGGGTTCATAGGGGACGCCGAGTGCTAGAAATCAGGTTTTATTAACCTCTCAGACTCTATTTATGGTATGGGTTCCAGGGAGTCATTGCGAGAGTGTTTTAAGGAATCAAATATCCTCACCGTTGCTTCTCAATACATTTATGAAAATATCATCTATGCCAGAAGGAATATAGACAGTTTCAAAAGAGTTAGTGATTGCATTAATAAAATCTTACGTAACAATAACAAACTGATTTTACCTAAATGTCGTTTGGCTAAAGTTAGTAATTCGTTTTATGGAAATTGCGTAAGGTTTTACAATAAAATACCAGAGTCTGTTATAAATCTGCCAGAAAAAAGATTTAAATGTCAAATAAAACAGTTCCTTTGCAAAAAAGCTTACTATAAAATTGAAGAATTCGTTAACGATAATAATGTTTTTATAGAAAAACTTTAAATCTATAGCACTGACAATATTATCTAATTACATTAATAATGAGTGCGTAGCGACTTCTATGTTGATTATCGCATGCCTCTTACTTGTTATACTGTAATTATTTATATAAAAAAAAACATCTATTAAAAAGAGCAACACACAAGTTTCTTGCTCATTCTTCTTGTGATGAATCTGCATTCCGAATGAGTGGTAGAATCAAAATATGACTATTCAAAAGTGCTTGTAATGAGTTTATTTGAATAAAGATTATTTCTATTTCTATTTCTAAACTCAATCAATGTGAACGTGATTGCATCATTAAATTGACTTCGTTACGTAAAAGGGATCAAAAAATACTAAAAATAATAAAAATATAGGTACCAGTAATTATATAATAAATAATAATCATCAACATCTGCTTCTTCCTTATCGGTCTTTGTGGTCTAGTGGTTTAGCACACCGCTTTACGACCGATGGTCGCGGGTTAGATTCCACGCACGGTGCAGACATTTGTATTCATGAGTTGTTTGTATCGGTCTGGATGTTTTAAGTGTATATTATGTATGTATTTACAAAAAAATCTAAGTAATTATATCAGTTGTATAGTAGGAATGAGGATAATATTTTAGGAAAGGTGTTACATATGAATGTGGATGGTTATAAGGGCAGATGAAGGCCGAAAAAGAGATGGATGGACTGTGTGAAAGATGATATGGTAAGAAAGGGAGTAAATAACGCGATCACTGCGAACAGAGATGAATGGAAGAGAAAAACATATTACGCCAACCACAAATAAATGGGATAAGGAAGAAGCAGATGATGATGATGAATACAAGCTCTACTTATCGTGGGACTAGATGGCGTTGCGTTAATTGTTCAGGGTTATTATTATTATTGTTATTATTATTTTTTTTTTTTTACCAAAAATTCTCATCTCCCCTCTTAAGGAGAGGAGATGGCAACATACCCCTGGCAGAAGCACAGTCGGCCGGGGTTCAGGGCCCCAGGGACAGAAACCGGCGTACAATGCGGGCAGAATCTAACAGCACCGCTTTCTGCATCTTTCCCGGGAGTGAACCGCCCCGGAATCCCAACCGTCTGAGATGTTGTTCCAGACTGGTTGGGATAAGACCGTTCACCGACATAACGATTGGAATGATTTCGGTGGACATCACCCCCCACATTTCGGTCACCTCGTGAGCCAGGTCGAGATACTTTCTCTTTTTCTCAGTTTCGGCTTTCACGAGGTTCTCGTCATGCGGTATGGTGATGTCCACCAAAAACACCCTCGAAAGTGCCCGATCCATCACCACGATATCAGGTTTGTTCGCAAGAACGGTCCTGTCCGTGATGATGGATCGGTCCCAGTAGAGCTTGACGCTGCCGCTTTCGAGGACCGGCCGGGGCTCGTACTTATAGTACGGCAACCTCTCATTCGCGAGGCCGTACTTCAGAGCTAGTTCTTGATGGAGTATTTTGGCTACCTGGTTGTGTCTGTGCAAGTACTCAGTGTTGGCAAGAGCTGAACAGCTTATTATTATTATTATTATTATTATTATTAGTTTTATCCAAAAATTCTCATCTCCCCTCTTAAGGAGAGGAGATGGCAACATACCCCCGGTAGAAGCACAGTCGGCCGGGGTTCAGATACAATGCGGGCAGAATCTAACAGCACCGCTTTCTGCATCTTTCCAGCCGCCTTCCCAACCGTCTGAGATGTTGCTCCAGACTGGTTGGGATAAGACCGTTCACCGACCGTTCAACGATTGGAATGATTTCGGTGGACATCACCCCCCACATTTCGGTCACCTCGTGAGCCAGGTCGAGATATTTTCTCTTTTTCTCAGTTTCGGCTTTCACGAGGTTCTCGTCATGCGGTATGGTGATGTCCACCAAAAACTTTCCATCACCACGATATCAGGCTTGTTTGCAAGAACGGTCCTGTCCGTGATGATGGATTCATTCATCTCTGTTCGCAGTCATCTCGTTATTTACTTCCTTTCTTACCATATCATCTTACACACAGTCCATACATCACTTTTTCGGTCTTCCTCTGCCCTTATAACCATCCACATTTATACATATATAACACCTTCCTTCACGATTATTTAAAAGAGCAACACACAAGTTTCTTGCTCATTCTTCTTGTGATGAGACAGCTTTTCGAATGAGCGGTAGATTAAAAAAAATGTTATGACTATACAAAAGTGCTTCAATTAAGTTTATTTGAATAAAAGATTTTCTATTCCTTAAAATATTAAATTAAATTATCTTCATTATATATCATTTTTCTATCGTTGTCGTCGATCTCTTATTGTATTATTTTACTGATAAAGGCTATAACAGAATAGCAGAGAGGGTGGACTCACTGCCCTCACTTAGTTATAGATCGTTTTGTCTCCTTCATTAGTTTTAAATTATATTATTGTACTAGCTTTTGCACGCGGCTTCGCTCGCGTTAATTTATACCCTTAGGAGTGGAATTTATCAAAATCCTTTCTTAGAGGATGCCTACGTCATAGTAGCTTTATGCATGCAAAGTCTCAGCTCAATCGGTTTAAAATTGACAAAGTTTCATACAATCTTTCATCCCCTATTTTATATTTATCCCCTTGGGGGTAGAATTAATCAAAATCCTTTCTTAGCGGATGCCGACGTCATAACATCTACCTGCATGCCAAATTTCAGCCCGATCCGTCCAGTGGTTTGGGTTGTGCGTTGATAGATCACTATGTCAGTCACCTTTGAGTTACGAGTATATATATTTAGTTTGACAACAATTTTATTAGTTTTTGTTTGAGGCAAATAAAGATTATTATTATTATTAAATAATAATATAATAAAGGTTAAAATATTGATGTTGATTTTCGTTTTTTTGCTACACATGCCTACTCCTCGATGCTGAATATGCTTGAAACTACTCTGCTAAGGATTATAAGGTAAGTATGTCAAAATTGTACCTTTCTTCGTCAATGTATGTAATGTATGTATGGCAGGAAATTCACTGTCACCAGATGCCTCATTATCTTCTATTTCCACTGATGTTTCTTGAGAGGTATACTCTTGTTTAGTCTGAAACAATATAAATACATTTTATCTACCATATAGTGATATACACTAGTAATCGCCCAGTGGTCGAAATTCGACCTTAATCTAAATATATATACAATATACCTAGTGTTAAGTTATAGTGATAAATATCCCAATTATATATATATATATATAATAACATCTGATAATGGAACGTCCTTTGTGGGAGCGCATCGCCAATTAGCCGAGTTCCATAACCAGTCCGTACAAGACTTCGCTACTGCAAATGACTGTGAATGGAAATTCATACCACCTGCATCGCCGTTTATGGGAGGCTGCTGTGAGCGTTCAGTACGCACTGTCAAAACCGCTCTCCTAATAACTTTAAAGGAGAGAGCACCGAAAGAGAAAGTTCTTTTTACTTTCTTGTTAGAAGCGGAGGGTTTAATCAATTCCAGACCTTTAACATACGTCACAAAACAATGTCAGAGCCTTACGCCGTTCCATCTTTTAATCGGTACTTCATCCAATCAACAATTACCCTTGAGGCTGGACGATGGACTATTTTCATTAAGCTTGGCTTATAGAAATAGAAATAATCTTTATTCAAATAAACTCATTACAAGCACTTTTGAATAGTCATATTTTGATTCTACCACTCATTCGGAATGCAGATTCATCACAAGAAGAACGAGCAAGAAACTTGTGTGTTGCTCTTTTTAGTAGATATTTTTTTTTATATAAATAATTACAGTATAACAAGTAAGAGGTATGCGATAATCAACATAGAAATCGCTACGCACTCATTATTAGTGTAATTAGATAATATTGTCAGTGATTCTATGGATTTAAAGTTTTTCTATAAAACATTATTAACGTTAAGGAATTCATCAATTTTATAGTAACCTTTTTAGCAAAGGTACTGTTTTATTTGACATTTAAATCTTTTTTCTGGCAGATTTATAACAGGCTCTGGTATTCTTGTAAAACCTTACGCAATTTCCATAAAACGAATTACTAACTTTAGCCAAACGACATTTAGGTAAAATCAGTTTGTTATTGTTACGTAAGCTTTTATTGGTGCAATCACTAACTCTTTTGAAACTGTCTATATTTTTCCTGGTATAAATGATATTTTCATAAATGTATTGAGAAGCGATAATAGAGTATTTACCGGCTTTAAAACCTAGGAAACAGCAATGAGGCGTGTTCAAGAATTTTAAAGTTGACATCGTCTTACTAGTCGATCCTGATTTACCACGAGGATTATGACCTATGGGAAGAGAAACCAAAGTCTTCCCAGGCAAAGATGGAGTCGTGCGAGTAGCAGATGTGGCCACTAAAGGGGGCACGCTGAGGAGATCCGTGCGCAAATTGGTCCTATTGTACGAAGACACAATTGTGTAGCAAAGTGCTACGCGGGTGGAACGATGTTGTGAACTATTTTTATACCTTTTTTATTATCTATGTTTTTTATATGACATAAGTCATTAATACACAATTATTTTACGACTATACCGGTGCCGATTTCTTTGCTCGTCATCTTGGTCTCTATCCTTCACACATGGGTTGATTGATCTCAGCGTTACCAACCTTATGTTGGATGTGATAGGTTTTTAAATATTTTAGATACTTTTTTAAGTTCTAAATATCGTTTCAGTGGGGATTGGGGTCCCTTGTATCCTTGGGGCCCTGGGCTTCTCCAACCCATCCATTCATCTCCATCCACACCGGCAAATATACGCTTTTATAATATTAGTAAGTGTACGTTACATGAAAACCGGCGGATTCTTGAGCTGGATGCCAGACGTGACGAGCTGAAAGTCCAACCTGCGATTATCAGCTACTATAATTACGTGAATGGTGTGCTCTCATATCCGCAATGTGCGAGGATTTTTATATATTATTTTATTTTTACATAAAATGAAATGAAATGAAATGATATTTATTCAGTAGAAGAAAAAACTAAAACACACATTAAACAAACAAAAAAACAAACAGTGCGACAATTACAAAAAAAAATACACAAATTACGTGTGTGCGCGTGCATGTGTATGTTTGTCGAAGCATCTACTGAATAGGTCCGTGCTCAGCAAAATGCTGCAGCGGCTGGAGCGCTGCAACGCTGTTTTTCAGCACAAGACCTGCTGCTATGCATGCTAGCACATCGATGGCAAAACCAGAGTTGAAGACCGTCACCGTGTCAGGAATCGGCCGGGATTACATCATCAATATTACGTTAGTGTCAGAAATCGGCCGGGATTACATCATCAATATTACGTTATACATTTAGGAACATTATAGCCAAAATAAACTGTTATAAGTACATTTAAATAAGATAGAAATCGTATTACTGTCTGTACAGTTGTCCGCTCCAAGTGTGTCTGTTGAGCGAGATCCCATAAACGTAAACATCTCCTTTGGACTTCCTCGTTGTCTTCAGCCTTTGGAGTGAAGTCTAGTACCAGGTGTTGAGCTTTGAGAGATTCTCCGGTAGACCTGCCAGCGTCTACCACTGGTACTATCTGTTTTATAATTTAGATATAATAAAGATTATATGATGATGAAAGATTATAGTATTACTGTATGTAGATATAAAATTCTCGCGTCAAAATTATGAAACTCTGAAACAGCTTGACAGATTCTTATGAATTTTGTTATTCAGTAGGTTTGAGAATAGAACGAAAGTACTTCATGCACTTAAGTGATAAGGATAGTCCATAACATATTTTGAAATGGAAATTTCATACTATAACCCCTATTATTTTTGTACCTTAATGTTACCTTAAATGCTTCTATTGAAGCCTGTTCACCAGATGCCGCAGATATGGGCATCATTTCCCAACATTGACAGCACAGCACAGACAGAGCAAACGTCAGACAGTCAGAGACCGCCTGCGCGTATCGCCACAGAGTAATAAACCTACAAAACAAAGCAAAGGTTCACAAATTCAAGAAAAGTAGTCTGTATCTGTACTAAGATTATAAAGCTGAACAGTTTGTTTGTTTGAACGCGCTAATCTCCGGAACGGAGAAAGCTTTAAGCTACTAAGTTACGCTACGACCAATAGGAGCTGAGCTGCAATGAATAATACTGCAAAAGATGGAGAAATGAAACGCAGAGGAAGTTGCGCAAGTCAGCTAGTTTTATTGTTTATGTTACTTATTTTGATTCTTTTGTTATTTCAAAGAAATAAATTTTTGATATTTTTTTTTAATGCGCTACATATTAATTTATTTTATGTATAAAAATATTATTAGAGAGATGTGAAAATACTATCACGACGTTTTTATTTAGCTCCACCAATTAAACTTGTAATTTTTTACATAGTTCTTGGTCCTTCGAGCCGGATAATTTGTTCACAATAAGTAAGCTACATTTTCTCGAATTATGTGTTAGTTTGCGGAAGTTAATTTCATTACTTGATGAATTTATATTGTTTTGTTTAACTACTTCACTATTAGCACGTGTGAGACACTCCATTAGCACGTGTGAAACACTATTTGTGTCTCACACGTGCCAATGGTAGAGGAGTTAAACAGTGTGGAAACCTGACCAACGCGACTGGAAGCTTTTCTTCCCCACTACTGATCAAACTCCAACCGTTATCGGATCTACACCCATATGACATTGAGCGCCGCGCTGGTCTAGCAGTTTAGCACACCGCTTTACTTCCGATGGTCGCGGGTTCGATGATTTATGAAGACTTCGGTGGTCTAGCGGTTAAGTGTTATGATGGGTTTTTGTATATACAATAATAAAGAGTTTTATTATATCTTTATATATGTTTTAATGATTGTAAAGAAAATACAATGTAGAGCTTACAAATATTCGTGGCGTCACGCGCCATTGACCAAGGCAGAGAGAGGCACAGATCACTCAAAACATAATGCTATAGTTCTAGCACAGATAATACTCTAACATGACAGTTCCTAACATTAAACATACCGCTTTACTTCCGATGGTCGCGGGTTCGATTCCTCGCACGGTGCAAACATTTGTATTCATGAGTATGATTGTTTGTATCGGTTTGGGTTATGTATGTATTTACAAAAAAATATCCACATATTTATATAAGTTGTCTAGTACTCATAACACAAAATTCAAAAATTCAAAATATCTTTATTGATGTAGGTCTATTACAGACTCTTATGATATGTCAAATCTACCGTCAGTTCGGAATGATTTCAAGATGAGAAGTACTGATAAGAAACTCAGTTCATATTCTTTTCAAGCTCTACTTACCATGGGACTAGATGGCGCTGTGTAAATTGTCCAGGGTTATTTATTTATTATTTTACATTGCGACACGTGTTTCCCTCTAAACGAGGCATTATCAGGCAATAAATAGAGCTCGGATATAGCTTGTAACAGATGTCTTTACGCCAAAAAAGCAGCTTGCTTTTTAAGTTCTTTTTTAAGATTAGTTATTCTCATAACTTTTTATTACCCTTTAATTTTAGGTCATTCAAGTATAGCAAGAAAAAGTACTTACACCCGGCATATAATAAAGTCCTGACTAATATTATAAAAGCAAAAGTGAGTTTAGTACGCTTTCATGCTTTAACGGCTTAACCAATCATGAAATTTGACATCTAAGTAGAATTAAAAATAGGTTATTACATATATCTAAATCATCGTTACATGGTATAAAATAAAGTCGCTGTCGCTGTCTGTCCCTATGTATGCTTAAATCATTAAAACTGCGCGACGTATTTTGAAGCGGCTTCTTTTAATAGATAGAGTGATTCAAGAGGAAGGTTTATATATATAATACATGTAGACCCGTGCGAAGGCGAGTAGCTAGTAATATTATAAAAGCGAAAGTCTGTGAGCATGCACGTTTGTTAGTCTTTCACGCAAAAGCTGCTGAACGGATTTTGATAAAACTTTACAGTAATATAGGTTACAATAATAAGACATCAGAATAAGACAAGCTATATTTTTATTGAAATTTAACCCGGGGATAACCGCAGGCACAACTAGTATTACTATAGATAATTCTCTAAAATTATAATCTTGGTAATATTATAGGCACATATACAGGCCTTAGTCCCGGGAAGAAGTTAAGTAAATCATAAGAGATGCTGTTCCTATGATATTCAATAATAACCCCTGGACATTTAACACAGCGCCATCTAGTTCCACGGTAAGCAGAGCATGTGTTATGGATATTAGACAACTGATATAAATACTTAGATATAGTCCATTTTTTGTAAATACAAACAATGAAGCTCATTAATACAAATGTTACCATGAGAGGAATCGAAACTGCTTTTTACAAAATAAAAACAGGGGAGACCGAGACTACACAAAAGACTTTTACAAAACTGCTTGCAAAGAAAAATAGGCGAGAAGAGGTACCTACGCAGTTTACTTTTACAAAACTACTTGCAAATAAAAATAGGTTAGTCAGAGGTGCCTATGCAGATGACTTTTACAAAACTACTTGCAAATAAAAATGTGAGATAGAGGTACCTATATAGTCAGAGGTACCTACGCAGGCGACTTTTACAAAACTACTTGCAAATAAAAATATGTAGGTTAGTCAGAGGTGCCTACGCAGCTGACTTTTACAATACTACTTACAAATAAAAATGTGAGATAGATGTACCTATATAGTCAGAGGTACCTACGCAGGTGACTTTTACAAAACTACTTGCAAATAAAAAGATGTAGGTTAGTCAGAGGTGCCTACGCAGATGACTTTTACAAAACTACTTGCAAATAAAAATATGTAGGTTAGTCAGAGGTGCCTACGCAGCTGACTTTTACAATACTACTTACAAATAAAAATGTGAGATAGATGTACCTATATAGTCAGAGGTACCTACGCAGGTGACTTTTACAAAACTACTTGCAAATAAAAATATGTAGGTTAGTCAGAGGTGCCTACGCAGATGACTTTTACAAAACTACTTGCAAATAAAAATATGTAGGTTAGTCAGAGGTGCCTATGCAGATGACTTTTACAAAACTACTTGCAAATAAAAATATGTAGGTTAGTCAGAGGTGCCTACGCAGATGACTTTTACAAAACTACTTGCAAATAAAAATATGTAGGTTAGTCAGAGGTGCCTACGCAGATGACTTTTACAAAACTACTTGCAAATAAAAATAGGTGAGTCAGAAGTACCTACGCAGATGACTTGTACAAACTCAATCTTAGTCTATTCACATAAAATGAGCAGTGTTATTGATAAGACGATAAGAACTGATAACAAACCTTTTGATAATAGGATGCACCGCGTAGCAACTAATGTTGAACATTAAAACTATCTGAATTTCTCATAACTCATATCAAATAACACTTCAGAATAATTTCTTAGTAAATATAAGACTTCCAGCTGACGGATAGTTAAAAAAATATTACGTTTTTTTTCTTTTGTTATGGCTTGGCACTTGGTGCATTTGCCAACATTAGATAGTCCAGTAAAATTTTTAATTAAACATGTTGTGACCAGTTTTGGTGGAATATATAAAAGTAAATCCGCAAATATGTGAATAATAATGGTCAGAAAGAAATTTTTCTTTAACGGAAAAAGGAGGAAAGAATAAAAAAATGTGTTGAAAAATGCCTTTTTTTAAAATAACTCGATAACGGTAAGAAATATATCTTATATATAAAATCCTCGTGTCACAATGTTACCATATTCCTCCCAAACGGCTTGATGGATTTTTATGAAATTTTATATGCATATTCAGTAGGACGGACTGACAAGTAAGATAAGATGGACTGACAGTATAAGAACGGCTACACAGCAGTCCATGGTACAATGTTCTCGTGCAGCCAAAAACCGTACCAGGTGGAGACAAATTTTTATGATACCATATCACAAAATATACCATCATGAAAGCATATTCCAAGAGTGAACGACTGAAGAAGAAAGATTCAGGCTGAGAATCGGCTACAATCTATTTTTCATACCCCTAAGTGATAAGGGTTATCCACCTCAAACATTTTTTTTTTGTGCAATTTTTTTTGTTTATATTTTTTTATTATGTGTCATTAAAAAATACATACAAACCTAAATTTTCACCCTTCTATCACCAACCCCTATTTTTTATAGCGTTATTAATTTATATGGCCAAACAACGTTACAGCTAGTATATATATTTTTTCATTTAATATCAGATATATATATAAGTATACCTACAATTGATATAAACTTTAATATCTCAATATATATATAACGTAAAAAATACAACTGCTAAAATGTCTTACATGAATAAATTATTTTTCATTTTGATTTAACATATCCTTACTAACATTCAAAATGTGAAAGTAGGTATGTTTGTTAGGCTTTCACGCAAAAACTACTAAACCGATCATCGTTAAATTTTGTACACATGTTCTTGGAGCTATTAGAATGAACATAGGATATATTTTTATTTAAAAAAAAACAATTTTAAATAAAAATAAAATATCAACGTTTTGCTACTTCAACGGCATCTAGTAGCCAATAATGAGTTATAGAAGTTATTCAATGGATTCAATGCGAGCTAAGCCGTGGGTAAAAGCTAGTATATTATAAACGCGAAAGTTTGTAAGTATGTAGTGAAGTTATGCGAGCGAAGCCGCGGCTAAAAGCTAGAAATAAGGTTGTCCTTATATGTCACGCACATTATTTTATCTAATGCATATTTACCATTCAATAAAATCTGTTATAAGGCATAAAATACAGTAGGAAAGTACATTAACTGCGATAAATCAGTAAGTTCACCATACACACGGATAATGGAGATCTCACATGATTTATATGCTAACGCCCTACACATATATCTTACTGCTTAAAGAACCAGTTTTATTTCGTTTTAATGTCCAATAAATTTCACCTCGTGACATTGAATAACTTCCAAAACGCGTGAAAATACAGAACCCATTGAGGTATTAGTGTATTAGAGAATAGAGCACGGAACAAATACCGTAGCTACACTTATGGCAGCATACAGAATCTTGAAACAGAAACAACAGAGACACGTGTACAAAACTTGAAGAGTTCGGTGGTTTAGCAGATAAGTGTTATGATGGGTTTTTGTATATACAATAATAAAGAGTTTTATTATATCTTTATATATGTTTTAATGATTGTAAAGAAAATACAATGTAGAGCTTGCAAATATTCGTGGCGTCACGCACCATTGACCAAGGCAGAGAGAGGCACAGATCACTCAAAACATAATGCTGTAGTTCTAGCACAGATAATACTCTAACATGACAGTTCCTAGCATTAAACACACCGCTTTGCTTCCGATGGTGGAGGGTTTGATTCCTCGCACGGTGCAAACATTTGTATTCATAATTATGACTGTTTGTATCGGTCTTGGTGTTTTCTATACATATTATGTATGTATTTACAAACAAGAAATATCTATGTATTTATATCAAATTATCTATGTCTAGATGGCTGTATAACAGTTATTATTATTTTTATTATTTACAAAACAAAACAAATTATCTATGTACTTATAACAGTTGTCTAGTATCCATAACACAAGCTTTGCTTATCCTGGGAGTAGATGGCGCTGTTATTTGTCCAAGGTTATTTATTTATTATTTACAAAATTACTGAAGAAACGATGACTATCACAGAAGTATAAAACTGTGTTGCGAATATCGACGCGCTCCACCGAGTCTATATAATTCCAAAATATTCATGCTATGACGTTCCTTACATTAGGTTAGTCTAATAAAATTGATATAACTTTTAAATTCAAATTTACCAGAACAAAGAATATTGCAAAGAACATTGAAGTTATAAACAAAACATAACGCCTATGCCTGCATTTGATAGTGATGCAAAAAAATCATTATGTGTATAAGTGTGTGAGAGAGTGAGGGAGACTATGTATATGTGTGTATGACTATGTGTATGTGTATCTTATTTATGTATATTATATACATAAATAAGATTAAATTTGAAGCTACAATATTTAGGATACAAGCGAGTCAAAAAAGGTCTTACCTTCAGTTTTTCATAAGACTAGCTTTTATTAATAACAGTAATTAAAAATATCTTCTTTATAGATTACTAGTTGCTCGCCCCAGCTTCGCACGGGTGTATGTACACCCGTATTATAATATGTATAATACACATGTATTATATGTATAATACATGTGTATTATACATATAAACCTTCCTCTTGAATCACTCTCTGTATTAAAAAATCCGTTTCAAAATCCGTTGCAAAGTTTTAAAGATTTAAACATACATAAGGACAGAGAAGGGTAGCGACTTTGTTTTATACTATGTAATGAAACTAATATACCTATACATAGATGTAAATATTGTGCCATCTATTTAGTTTACACTATACTGTATTCTTTAATTTTAACCATCACATTACAATATTTTTAGTGTAATACTAGGTGTGCCCGCGATACTACCCGCGTTAAATTTATAGACCATTTCTTATTCTGATGCTATAAGCTATATTACTGTAAAGTTTCATCAAAATCCGTTCAGTAGTTCTTGCGTGAAAGAGTAACAAACATCCATCCATACTCACAAACTTTATAAAATTAATAAGATAAGATGGTATGGTAATAATGTTGTCCCCAAATAGGACGCCGTAAGATTATTTGCCATTTCAATTGCCAACTTGTTTTTTATCGAAATTGGTACTAGATGTTTGCGGCGCCATCGCCGCAATAGATGTAGACAGATTTGTTAAGTGTATTATCTCATCTAGGCATATAATATTTCAATGTAGAGGCTGGATAAAATTGACTATAATTTAGAGTAATCGTAATGACAAAGAAATGGGTAACGGAAAGGTCGTAAATACTTATATATTTATTAGCAATGCACCTCTATTTGATACGAGATATAGTATATATCTGAGATTTTATAACTATACAATAATAATAATAATATAATAAACTCAGGACAATTCTCACAGCGCCATCTAGACCCAAGTTAAGCTAGCTAAAGCTTGTGTTATGGGTACTAGATAACTGATACATATACATAGATATATATTTTTTTTTGTAAATACATACATATTATACATAGAAAACATCCAGACCGATACAAACAATCATACTTATGAATACAAATGTTTGTGCCGTGCGAGGAAACGAACCCGCGACCATCGTTCGTAAAGCGGTGTGCTTGACCGCTAGACCACCGAGATCGTCAATATATTTTTAACTAAACATCTATACATATATATAAAATTGGTGTGTGACTGTTTGTAATATTGTAATAACCGTTTTTTACTACCTGCATATGAATATAAATATGGTACAAACATCAAAATAACATTTTTTACAAGTCTTGTCCGTCTGTCTGTTTGTTTGTTCCGGCAAATCTCTGAAAGGGCTGGTCCGATTTTGACGGAACTTTTATTGAGAGGTAGCTGATGTAATAAGGAGTAACTTAGGCTACTTTTATTTTAGAAAAATTCATTTATTTTAGAAAAATAAAGCTATCTGGACTGGTGATCTTATTCACCAGTCCACATTACTAACAATCCCCTTTTCCCCCCTGATGGTGGTGGTCAGGTTTTGTATCAAATATTTGTGGTCTCACCAAATATTTGTGGTTAATGGTAGCGAAATAATATAAAAAGCAAATAATATAAATCACTTAAGTAGGGAAAAATTGGCTCCAGCAAAAAACACCTAATTCGTTAAAATAAATAGACTCTTTCTGAAAAAGATTTCTGAGAATTATTTATCTCTCGAGGTAAGTAAACATTTACTTATGGTAGACTAAGTAGTCTGTTAATATTAATTTAATCTAAATATATATAACTCAAAGGTGACTGATATAGTGATCTATCAACGCACAGCCCAAACCACTAGGCAGATGAGGCTGAAATTTGGCATGTAGGTAGATGATATGACGTAGGCATCCGCTAAGAAAGGATTTTGATTAATTCTACCCCGAAGGGGATAAAATTGGGGTAAAAAGCATAAAGTACTACTACTATGACGTAGGCATCACCTAAGAAAGGATTTTGGTAAATTCCACCCGTAAGGGGATAAATTAACGAGCAAAGCCGCTGGCAAAGGCTAGTGAAATATAATTCTGTAAAATAAAAATTTATTTTATCAGTTTTTCTCTCTTATTATCTTGTACAGAACTAGTAGAAGAACTGCTTCCAGACTGAGCATCTCTTTCTTCATTACATAAGCTAACTTGGCTGCCAATATCAGATTTTCTATATCTTCTCTTCTTCCTCATTTGTTTATCCATTCTCTCACATATATTTACAGCACTATGTCGAAGCTCTATTGGTATATCTCTTACTATAATATCGCGTAGTAAAGCATTTCTGACATTCTTATTTACTGCAGTACTATCCAAGGTTTTAGATTTGTCAGATTTCTTAAACTTTCTGTAAACATTTCTGCGGCACTTATTCCAATCTTTATGTAATAAACTTCTATACACCCATATTATTACCTTAATGAAGCATATACTTGAGAGGATTACCCCACATACAGCTGCAATACAGCCTATGATAGATAAAAAGGCTGTCTTGCAACATTTGCTATAATCAACAGTTTCACCATGAGCCACTGGACAAAGTTTCCCATACATCATATCCCTTAATAAATACAAATTTTGAGATATCGTCGTGCAATTCGATTTCAACTCCACTGTAGTATTACCTCCATGCTTTGTTGACTCTGTCACTACACCGAGACCTGTACTTATAGCAAATATATCACCAAGTGTTAACGGATGGTCTAGATCTCTACATATATTAATAAATGGGACATATATTACATCTGGTAATTCTTTATTAACATCGCCCTTACATTCGGGAGTTTCTACGCATTCATTAATTCTGTTATCGAAAAACGACCGGGCTCCAAGATATTTTAAGTCGCAATCTACTGGACTACACTCATCTAACGAGTCCTGATCTAGACTATCACAATTTGCTATTTTATGATCACCAATATATTCACGAAAAAAACCGTTGGCTTTTCTTCCTCTGCCTACAGTGGTATCAAAATTGATTCTTATATTTTGTCTTTTATATTTCCTGTCCACACATCTATAGTCTAGAACAAAATCACAATATCCAATTAAATCGTGTTTGTACATGCAAGGGTAAATGAAAAGCAATGTCTGCAGTTGTTTAGGCTTTAGAACAAGCACATGTTCACCATAAACATACACGATATTGCAGTCTTCTGCGTTATTGATTAAACAACAATTTTCAGGATGAGATATAACCCTACAATTTCCGACACGATCTTTATTTTCAATGTCGATGTAAAATTGGATTGCTACAGATTGTCTGTTTATTGAAAGAATTCCTTTATCTTTAACACTTATTAATGATACCCCAAGTTTTATTGGAAACAGAAATATTATGAAAACTGAATAATTATACATGTCATATTTCACAATTCTCGTGTTCACAATGGCACTATTATTACAATAGTTATTTCAGTTATGTCTTGTCATAACATATTATGAAAATGACGAATGAAATGACATAAGAAAAGTAGGTGATATACGGGAAAGTTTTCTGGTGTTAGGAGAACATTTAGACATTTCTGCTATATAAAGCACATATGAGTTTTATAGATTGTTTATAGAGTGTTTTATAGATTTTATAGAGTGTTTTATAGATCTAGGATCATATTTCAGAGCAAATTCAATTTGTAGTTCTATGTATTAGAACTACAAATTGAATTTGCTCTGAATGAAATTTGACCTCTGGTTCTGCTAATACGATTTTAAAAATTATTTCACTGTTAGAAAGGAATTTTATTCCCGAGTGCTATAGGCTATATAACATCACGCTATGACTAATAGGAAAAATGTGGCAAAAAATAGTTATTTTGAGTGCTCTCCTTGCGTGCACTGCGTTAATGGTTAAAATTATGCAAAAATATGAATGACGGATGTAAGGAACTCCTTCATAGATTTTTATACTATTTTTGAATTTTATAATAATATTTTTTGACATATTCTTTTAGTTACAGTCTTTAGGTATATATCGCTGTTATATAAGTGGCATTTTATTTTATCTCCGTATTTTCCTTATTAAAACCTCATCATTCATCTCAACCACATTCCTTAACAAAACCCCTAGCACCTCTCAGTCATCAGACACATTAGACAATTCCGTTGAAACGGAGGTAACGCTTCAACGGAATTGTTCTCCTTGAAAAGTCCTAAAAGAAATCCGTGACAACATATGTGTATCTTTTAAAGTTAACTCACTATATCCTTCTTTATGATAATCTTCTAAAATAATACATTATTTGCAAAGGTTATTAATCCTTATCCAAATAAACACGTTATTTATTCTAAGTATTTGTTTCTTTCATTCTTCTTCTTTTTCTGATAAGTCAAAATTCCGAATGAGCGGTAGAATAAAAAAAATGTGCTTATATCAAGTTTACCTGAAAAGATTATTTCTATTTCTATTTAATTTTGAACAAAATTGTCCTATACATAATTTGATTTCAATGAACACTTTAGGAGATATCTTAGTTTTAATAAAAGAATCACCTTACTAACTGGCATAGTGCAGTTTACAAATACTTATAAAAACAAATAGCTGATTCAAAATGGACTGTTAGGACCGTTGGAAGCTGGAGCGTGTTATGTGTGTTAAATATAGTAGTAATATGTAATATTATGTTATCTGTGGTAGTAATATAAGACTAGGGTCATGCCAAACTGGGGCGTGTCGCTAAAGTATAATATTTAAATATACTAGTAATTACTTTACTATCCCATAAATAATGTTTTTTATGTACTGCCAATTTGAATTTATTGTATCAGTGTATCTAATTATTCACGTCTAATTTTACGTCCCTAATTACGTGTTTAATATCATCATTAATCGTGATTTGTTCTCCCCCGAGGCCATAATACTTGTAACTAAATGGACATCATTATTTAGAATAGCGTTAATTTCACTTTGATTAGCAGTTTCAATCGGATAACGCCAAAACAATTATAAGATCCAACATTAAACTGATTAACTACACCGGAATGGGAACTGTTGTCATTTAATTAACATTAATTTGTTTGCATTACTGTAATCCTAGATAATAGAAATAGAAATAATCTTTATTCAAATAAACTCATTACAAGCACTTTTGAATAGTCATATTTTGATTCTACCACTCATTCGGAATGCAGATTTATCACAAGAAGAATGAGCAAGAAACTTGTGTGTTGCTCTTTTTAATATATGTTTTTTTATATAAATAATTACAGTACAAGTAAGAGGCTTGCGATAATCAACATAGAAATCGCTACGCACTCATTATTATTAGTGTAATCAAATAATATTGTCAGTGCTATGGATTTAAGTTTTTCTATAAAAACATTATTATCGTTAACGGATGCTTCAAGTTTATAGTAAGTTTTTTTGCAAAGGAATTGTTTTATTTGACATTTAAATCTTTTTTCTGGCAGATTTATAACAGACTCTGGTATTTTATTGTAAAACCTTACGCAATTGCCATAAAACGAATTACTAGCTTTAGCCAAACGACATTTAGGTAAAATCAGTTTGTTATTGTTACGTAAGCTTTTATTGGTGCAATCACTAACTCTTTTGAAACTGTCTATATTCTTCCTGGCATAGATGATATTTTCATAAATGTATTGAGAAGCAACGGTGAGGATATTTGATTCCTTAAAGCACTCTCGCAATGACTCCCTGGAACCCATACCATAAATGGAGCGAATGGCCCTCTTTTGTACAGTAAATATTGTATTTATAATGTAAACAGAGAGGATGCTAGATACCTCAGAACAATTAACAATACAACAGAAACTAGAATAGAATAGAATAGAAAATCATTTATTCATTAAAATCGTTTATTGAAGCACTATTGAATAGTGACACAGTCACATTTTTTTTAATCTACCGCTCATTCGGAAAGCTGTCTCATCACAAGAAGAACGAGCAAAAAACTTGCGTGTTGCTCTTTTAAATAATTTTATTGTTACTTTACATTTTTAAGTTGAAGTGTGTGAATACAAACTACCAATTAGCACTAAGACAATTAAATACTCAAATAGAGAAAATCCTTACTAATATTATAAATCCGAAAGTGATTCTGTCTGTCTCGCTTTCACGCCAAAACTACTGAACCGATTCAAATTAAATTTAATATACAGATAGTCTAGATCCTGAGAAAGAATATAGGCTACTTTTTAAGACGAAAAAGGGTTGTAAGGCGTTGAAATGGGAGATGCAAGGTTGTATGGAAGTATCTTCATTTTTAAAGCTAGAAGTTTGAAACTTATTTTTTAGATTGTAGACTAAATGTAAATAAATATAATAGTCAAAGATTGTATAATTTTTACCCTTTTGTGCACCTATTTGCGCTAACGGTATATAACGGCGAGACCACAGTAGATGATGATAGGGTGAGGTTAAAGTCAATCAGTTACCTCATCATGGTGAAGACACCAAAAATAATCACAATGATTTGACAAAGGAAATCGCGTGGAGGTCGACCTGTTGAGGAGCAATCACTATTACTAGCTATCTTCGTTTATCAGACTCTGCGACTAAAACACATCTCACTGCTGAGCAGCTGAAATGTACGACAATGAGGTACCCATGCCGACGGTATTAAAACGGAATAAAAAATGAAATGATGTTTGTTACTCTAGCTAATTTTGAAATATTTGTAAATCTGCAAGGAACAGGTTTAAGTGATGAGAAAATAATAATATAAAGAAATTGCATGGAAAATAGTAAAAACAACAATTTTATTTTCCCATACACCCTGTTCGTGCCTGTCAGTTTAGTTCCGCTATAAATTTCTCGGACCCTCGGTTCAGAAATTAATTGCGTAACTAAACTTCAAAAAACTTTTGACATATTATTTAATTCTGAAGCGGAACGGTGTCCACGGGGTCAGCTGGTATGTAATATAAAAAAGTCAATAAAAGAAATCTATAACTCATCTTTTTTATTGTCTATCACACCATAATCAAACTTAATGAAATCAGCCGCTCGTTCCGCGATCATCATCACTGGAGCATTAGTATTGGCACTTGTTATAGTTGGCATTATACTAGCATCTACAACTCTTAAACCTTTAACACCTATCACTTTTAATTTCCTATCCACAACTGCTGACCGATCGTCAGTACTCCCCATCTTAGCTGTCCCCACAGGATGATATACATTATAAGTCACTGTTCTAATCATACATTTCCAATATGCGTCACTCCCAAATTCTGCATCATCACAATCTTCATATAGAATCCTTTTTATTTCAGCCTTCATTCCTTTAAATGTTGGAGTGTCAATAATTTTCATTACATTCTTCAAGCTTTGTATGTAAATATCAACATCTCTTGGATCACTAAAATATTTCGGAAATATTTTTGGGGAATCCATTGCATTAGTTGAACGTAATAGTATTTTTCCCCTTGAATAAGGTCTACATAAAGACACGAAAAATATAATCATTTCCTTGTCTGAATTGAACATTTTAAACTGTTCGCATATTTCATCTTTAAACGACATTACATCTGTACACATTTTGTAAACGTAAGATGTATTTGGTACAAAATAATTATGATCTATCTGTACATCAGGCAGTTTTTTACCATCTGGTACAGATAGGAACGCGTTTATATTTGGTTGATCATAATTTGTTGCATGTGGACCACTGTGATCTAATAAATACTGCGCGGCTGCTTTATTCCAATATAATTCATCTTTTGGTTTAGCACCAGTATCTATAGTCACTGGTATTGGTATTCTTACATGATCTTGCAGATTTTCGCCTACAGGTAAATCAACTAACACCTTTATACCTAGATCGTCGAGGTGCTGTTTTGGACCAATACCAGAAATCATAAGAAGTACAGGTGTATTAATCACACCTGCGCTTACTATAATTTCATTCTTAGCTTTGAACGTCGCTACATCTCCATTTTGAAGCATGACTCTAACACCAGTGCTCTTTAAATTATTCTCGTCAATATCAACTTTATATGCAAACGTATTCTTTAAAATGTACAGATTCTGACGATGTTTTATGGGATTTAAGAAAGCAGTTGCAGTACTTACTCTATGGCCTTTATAATTTGCTCCTCTAATTTTTCCAACTCCCATTTGTGTAAGACCGTTTAAATTGTCCAAATAATTTAAACCTAATTCCTTATATCCGTCAATTAATTTGTTAACTATATCAGTGTGAGTAGAATTTAACTGATCAATGACAAATTCACCATCAGTGCCGTAATGTTGTTTTAAGTCTGGATTACTTAATATAAAAGGGTCTACAATTTTGACGCTTTTCTTCAAATATTTTTTAATATTCGACCAGTCCCAACCATCATCGTCGTCTAAGTGCCACGATTCATAGTCGCCCGGAGTACCCATCATATGTAGCATGCCGTTTATAGACCCAGTGCCTCCTAGAACCTTTCCTCGAGGCCAAAAGGATTTGCCATCAACACAACCTTTGTTAGTATTTTCATCTTTCTCAGTGTAATATTGCCACGCATGTCGACTTCTATGGGTAGCGCCAGAGAAGTTGGGGATCTGAAAACATATTCACTAATAACTGTTATTTTTTGTAGTTTAGTTTTCCGATCCCGAGATAAAATAATCATTAGATAAAATTTATGCTTTAAAATACTTAAACAATAACTAAGAGAAGTAACAGATGAGAGTGACTAAGGAAATGGACATTCCACTGCTTAGTAGACTAGTGGCAGTACAATATTTAGTTTGTATTACTGCCCTTAATTGCAAGTATTGCTGATCTGATTATCTTGGAGTTACTGAATTAACATTATCTTTATGGGATAAAGAACATTTCAATGCAGATAATTTCTATGGTTGCTTTGTGTGATAAGATGGATACAGGATACCAGGCTTGATATCTTTATCCTCAGGTATGATAAAGCTGGTATCACAACAGGAGTCAAATGATAACGTGATAATCGTAGTGCTGTTCTTGTATAAGCGACGGTACCACTTACCATCAGGTGGGTCGTATTTGATATTAAATCTAAATATATATAACCCAAAGGTGACTGACGTTGTGATCTATCAACGCACAGCCCAAACCACTGGACGGATCAGGCTGAAATTTGGCATGCAGGTAGATGTCATGACGTAGGCATCCGCTAAGGAAGGATTTTGATTAATTCTACCCCCAAGGGGATAAAATAGGGGATGAAAGTTTGTATGAAACTTTGTCAATTTTAAACCGATCGGGTCGATATGAAACTTTGCATGCATAAAGATATTATGACGTAGGCATCCCCTATGAAAGGATTTTGATAAATTCCACCCCTAGGGGGAGAAATTAACGCGAGCGAAGCCGCGGGAAAAAGCTAGTTAGAGGATAAGAGGCATAATATGTTTGTCCTCTGGAATGAAATGTTTGAGTGGTATAGCAGTAGTCATATGTTAACGTGATGTTCATAGTGCTGTTCATATATATAGGCGACGGTACCACTTACCATCAGGTGGGCCGCAAGTATATTTGCTATTGCAATTACAAAAATTAATTAATAAATAAATTAAATTAATTAAAAGATACTAACGATAGACTCCAGTGGCGGATCACCACCAGCCTCCACAAGCAGCACCTTCCAGTCTCGAACCTGTGACAGTCTGTTCGCGAGTATACAGCCAGCTGTGCCTGCACCTATTACGATGAAGTCGAAGCTATCACCATCTGGAATCATATAACATAGTATATGTAATAATAATAATAATCTCAGGACAATTCACACAGCGCCATCTAAACCCAAGTTAAGCTAGCTAAAGCTTGTGTTATGGGTACTAGACAACTGATACATATACATAGATTTTTTTTAACATACATATTATACATAGAAAACACCCAGACCGAAACAAACAATCATACTCATGAATACAAATGTTTGTGCCGTGCGAGGAATCGAACCCGCGACCATCAGTCGTACAGCGGTGTGCTAGACCGCTAGACCACCGAGGTCGTCAAGTACTTATAACTTTCGCTATCAGCAAGTGAAAGTCCCGTTTAAATCTGTCTAGCTATTTCTGAGTTTAACAGAACAAACAGACATATAGACAATAATATTTAAAATTGTTTTTTTTATGTAAGTGCCGTAAATCCTTAGTAATATTATAAATGCGAAAGTAGCTTTGTCTGTCAGTCTGTCTGATCGAAAAATTTCATTTAAATCGGTTCAGTAGTTTTGGCGTGAAAGCAAAAACTACTGAACCGATTTAAATGAAATTTGTTACACAAATAGTCTAGAACCTGAGGAGGGACATAGGCTACTTTTTAATCCAAAACAAAAGGGTTGTAACGGGTTGTAAGGGGAGATGAAAGCTTATATGGAAGTATCGACAATTTACGCGGACGAAGTCGCGTGCACATCTAGTATTTTCATATTATATTTACTGAAAAACTGTTAATTTGAAAATGATTTAATAATAATAATAATAATAATTTTTATTTCAGACAACATGATCCATTGTGTTTTTAACAGCTTAATGACATAACTTATCCTATGTTAGTAATAAAATATATAATAAAATAAAAATGTAACTTTTAACATATTACCTGAGTGTCTAATGGGACAGTCTGATGGCATTTTCTACCAGTCTACCGTCGCACTTATCAGAGTTAAACAGTTTCAATTAAATAATTGTCTTTAAAATATATATTATAAAGTTATAGTTACACTAGCTGTCCCGGCAAACGTTGTTTTACCATATAAATTAATAACGCTATAAAAAAATAGGGGTTGATGATAGAAGGGTGAAAATTTAGGATTCTATGTATTTTTGTATGTTGCATCATAAAAAAATAGAAACTAAAAATTTTGTCTAAAAAATAAAATAAAAAATTTAGGTGTGGACTACCCCTAACATTTAGTGGGATGAAAAATAGATGTTGGCCGATTCTCAGACCTACTCAATACGCTCACAAAATTTCATGAGAATCTGTCAAGCCGTTTCGGAGGAGTATGGGAACGAAAACTGTGACACGAGAATTTTATATATAAGATTAAAATATATAATTAAGTATATAGTTAATATACCTGCAACTTTATAATAATGGTCATCAGGCCAGTCCTCAGTGATCAGGCATTGTGCTGCAAACAGATGCTTCACAAGATTCGTGAAAGCAATACCCGAAGGGCCTTGCGTGTACGTACCACAGGGGATGTCCAGACATGTCATTGCTTCTGAAATTAAATGGACAATACATTAAGTTTCAATTTTACCAAAATGCGAAATGTCCTCGCTAATATTACAAATGCGACAGTAACTCTGTCTGTCTGTCTGTCTGTCTGTCTGTCTGTCCGTCTGTCTCGATAGCTTCTGAAATTAAATGGACAATACATTAAGTTTGAGTCAATTTTACTACGATGCGAATTATCATCGTTAATATTATAAATGCGACAGTAACTCTGTCTGTCTGTCTGTCTGTCTGTCTGTCTGTCTGTCTGTCTGTCTGTCTGTCTGTCTGTCCGTCTGTCTCGATAGCTTCTGAAATTAAATGGACAATACATTAAGTTTGAGTCAATTTTACTACGATGCGAATTATCATCGCTAATATTATAAATGCGACAGTAACTCTGTCTGTCTGTCTGTCTGTCCGTCTGTCTCGATAGCTTCTGAAATTAAATGGACAATACATTAAGTTTGAGTCAATTTTACTACGATGTGAATTATCATCGCTAATATTACAAATGCGAAAGTAACTCTGTCTGTTTGTCTGTCTGTCTGTCTGTCTGTCTCGATAGCTTCTGAAATTAAATGGACAATACATTAAGTTTAAGTCAATTTTACTACGATGCGAATTATCATCGCTAATATTACAAATGCGACAGGAACTCTGTCTGTCTGTCTGTCTGTCTGTCTGTCTGTCCGTCTGTCTCGATAGCTTCTGAAATTAAATGGACAATACATTAAGTTTCAGTCAATTTTACTACGATGCGAATTATCATCGCTAATATTACAAATGCGAAAGTAACTCTGTCTGTTTGTCTGTCTGTCTGTCTCGATAGCTTCTGAAATTAAATGGACAATACATTAAGTTTGAGTCAATTTTACTACGATGTGAATTATCATCGCTAATATTATAAATGCGACAGTAACTCTGTCTGTCTGTCTGTCTGTCTGTCTGTCTCGATAGCTTCTGAAATTAAATGGACAATACATTAAGTTTGAGTCAATTTTACTACGATGCGAATTATCATCGTTAATATTATAAATGCGACAGTAACTCTGTCTGTCTGTCTGTCTGTCTGTCTGTCTGTCTGTCCGTCTGTCTCGATAGCTTCTGAAGTTAAATGGACAATACATTAAGTTTGAGTCAATTTTACTACGATGCGAATTATCATCGCTAATATTACAAATGCGACAGTAACTCTGTCTGTCTGTCTGTCTGTCTGACTGTCTGTCTGTCTGTCCGTCTGTCTCGATAGCTTCTGAAGTTAAATGGACAATACATTAAGTTTGAGTCAATTTTACTACGATGCGAATTATCATCGCTAATATTACAAATGCGAAAGTAACTCTGTCTGTCTGTCTGTCTGTCTGTCCGTCTGTCTCGATAGCTTCTGAAATTAAATGGACAATACATTAAGTTTGAGTCAATTTTACTACGATGCGAATTATCCTCGCTAATATTACAAATGCGACAGGAACTCTGTCTGTCTGTCTGTCTGTCTGACTGTCTGTCTGTCTGTCCGTCTGTCTCGATAGCTTCTGAAGTTAAATGGACAATACATTAAGTTTGAGTCAATTTTACTACGATGCGAATTATCATCGCTAATATTACAAATGCGAAAGTAACTCTGTCTGTCTGTCTGTCTGTCTGTCCGTCTGTCTCGATAGCTTCTGAAATTAAATGGACAATACATTAAGTTTGAGTCAATTTTACTACGATGCGAATTATCCTCGCTAATATTACAAATGCGACAGTAACTCTGTCTGTCTGTCTGTTTCGCTTTCACGCCAAAACTACTGCAGCGATTTAAATAAAATTTGTTATACAGATAGTCTACACCCTGAGAAAGGATATAGGCTACTTTTTAATGCGAATAAAAGGTTGTATAGGGTTGAAATTGGGGATATGAAATGTTCTATGGAGGTCATCATTTTTAAAGCTAGAAGCTTGAAATTTATTTTGTCAGCTTTTGTCTATCAATATGACAGTCAAAGTTTGTACGAATTTTACCCTTAAAATAAAATAGGGGATGAAATGGAAATTGCTCATTCGTCCTCTATTCCTTGCGAACGAAGTTGCAGGCAGAGCTAGTAGATAGTAGATAATACATTAAATTTGAGTATTTAATTATTTATTTATTTAACTTCAATACACAAAAACAATGTGTACATATGGCGGACTTAAGATTTTGCGGCGTTATCTACCAGGCAACCATGAGTGATGCAGAGAATTGTTGGCGGTTCACTAATATAATTCCCATCAAAAACATAAATGTGAAATGATAGCCGAGTTTAATATTATGATATATACCTTGATTGTTGACTTCTACGACAAAAGAGGTGAGATCTAAATGGGTGCCAAGTTCAATGGTCTGTCCTGAAATGTATTTCTAACAATATATAATATCATTTCTTCTTATAACTTAGGATAATATACTGTAGCCTTGACACGCTACTGCGTGTCTAGTATGAGACATGTAAAAAAAATATATAAATATAAAACAAAATATTTTAAATATAAATTTCTATAAAAAAAATAATTAAAAAATAAATATTAAAAATTATATATAATACCGAATTTTACTGTAATGCGAATTTGTTTTATTTATGATTCCACCACTTCGAACTGCAACGCACTTGCAATTCCCCTAGTGTTAGTAGTAGTCCATTAGATGAGCTGTATGTTCTTTTTACCCCTATGTTATATTCAAATTTAAAAATAATTTATTCATGTAGGACATTTTAGCTTTGTTACAATTTTGTGTTATTATTTTTATCCCGTCCAATTCAGTAGAGATTCAGTTGAGAAGAACTGGCAAGAAATTCAATTGGATTTTTTTAAAGCTAGTTTATTTAATATGTTTACTTATATAGGTGTCTATAATGAAAATACCGTGCATGAACAACTGTTACCAGTCACGCTCGTCATTCAAGTAATTATTTAGTGACTATAAAAAAAACAATTCCTCGAGTATAAAATGTTTGACATTAAAAAAAAAATGCGAAATTCTTCCAGCGGACGGAAGGAATTTCGCATTTATTTTACTTTATTTATTATTATGACAGCCTCGGTGGTCTAGCGGTTTAGCACACCGCCTTACTTACGATGGTCGCGGGTTCGATTCCTCTCACGGAGCAAACATTTGTATTCATGAGTATGATTGTTTGTAACGGTCTGGGTGTTTTCTAGAATATGTATGTATTTACGAAAAAATATATATCAGTTATCTAGTACCCATAACACAAGCTTTAGCTAGTGTAACTTGGGTCTAGATGGCGCTGTGTGAATTGTCCTGAGACTATTATTATTTACTTATCTAGTAATAATATTAGTAAGTAAGGATTAACAGAGTATACGCTGAGCCCAAATGTAACCGATTCGAATAAAACAAACATTATATTCTAAGTAAAACCTACCACAACACATTAGCGAAAACCGCAACGCAAATCGGTAAAGCCGTTTCCGAGATTAACAAACAAATAGCGCAAACAAACAGACACAAATGTAAAATTCAGTGATTTCCTCTATTTTACAAATCTTTATATATCTTATCTTATTCAATATATCTTATATTAATCAATATATCATATAGGTCTATTACAGGCTCTTATGATATGCGGAGAAAAATGTTGGGGCACTTGATACGACACGACGAACTAATTAATAACATTATTGAAGGAAAAATAGATGGAAAAAGAGGAAGGGGAAGACCGAGACACAACTATATCAAGCAAGTTAAAGAACAAGTTGGAGTCGTGTCGTATCAACAGCTAAAAAGACTGATGGAAGATCGTGGAAGGTGGCGGGAACTCCAACGACAAGAGCACAGCTCTCAAATTATGAATGAATGAATGATATGTGACCGACATAGCCCGAAGAATTCCGACTCTGAAGTGGCAATGGGCGGGGCACATAGCTCGTAGGACAGATGGCCGTTGGGGCAGTAAAGTCCTCGAGTGGCGACCACGGATCGGAAGACGCAGCGTGGGAAGGCCTCCAGCAAGGTGGACCGACGATCTGGTCAAGATCGCTGGAAGGCATTGGATGCGAGCAGCGCAGGACCGATCGTCGTGGAAATCTTTGGGGGAGGCCTATGTCCAGCAGTGGATGTCTTCCGGGACGCGATGATGATGATGATGAATGATATGTGAAATCTACTGTCAGTTCGGAGTAATTACGAGATGAGAAGAACTGTTAAGAAACTAGTTATATACATAGGGACGGACAGACAGTGATAGCGACTTTGTTTTATACTATGTGATGATATATATATATATAGATATATGATATAAATAAATAATAATGATTTAAAAACAATGTAACTGTGTATAATACTTACCACGTTTTATATGTCTTCTATCTCACATAATAAAACCCAAACTAATGAACAGTGTTACATTAGTTTGGGTTCATTAAGAGAGGAATTGCTTATCATCATTCTTATTATCAGTAATAATAAAAAGTCAACAAATATTTATAAATATAACTACATAATACATTGTTGTTTAGTGTTACGACACGAGAATCGTTTCTGGCACTGACATTGGCAGAAAGTCACCGTTTTTATGGATAGCTAGCTGTCCCCGCGACTTCGTCCGCGTGGAATTTTATTTCATTTTTCTAAAATAAAAGTAGCCTAAGTTACTCCTTATTACATCAGCTATCTGCAAAAAACAGTCCTATCAAAATAGGTCCAGCCATTTCAGAGATTAGCCGGAACAAACAGACAGACAGACTGACAAAAATTGGAACAAATGTTATTTTGGTGTATGTGCCGTATTTATATTCAAATACAGGTAGTAAAAAACGGTTATTTCTGTATTACAAACAGACAGTTCAATTTTATTTATATGTATAAATGGAATTGTGCACCCGCCTGCGCTAACGGTTTACGCTGGCGGGGCACCAGTGGAGGATGAGCTGAACATGAGCTGTCAGGTCAGTTAGTTCATTGTGGTAAATTCACTAGGAAAGTGTTTCCACTGGGAATCACGTGGAGGTTAACCTGACATGGTACATGCTAGCAATGCAGTTATTAGTCCACATTACTATGTAATTTTATGTTATCTGTGACATTATTACAGCCTCATGCAACAGCCTATTATTACAGCCTCGGTGGTCTAGTGGTTTAGCACGCCGCTTTACTATCCGATTGTCGTGGGTTCGATACCTCTTTACATTTGTACTCATGAGTATGATTGTTTGTATCGGTTTGTGTGTTTTCTATGTACGAGTATGTATTTAGTTACAAAAAAAATGCATCTATGTATTTATATTAGTTGTCTAGTACCCATAACACAAGCTCTGCTTAGCTTAGGACTAGATGGCGCTGTGTGAATTGTCCTGAAATATTATTATTATTATTAACAGTCCTCTTGTCTTGAATATAGATATTACGACGGAACCTATAAAATAGTAAAATTATAAATATCTCCCGTAAAATATCTCTAATGAATCGTAGCTAAGAACAATATTACTTAAAAGAGCAACACGCACGTTTCTTGCTCATTCTTCTCGTGATGCGTCTGCATTCCAATGAGTGGTAGAATAAAAACAAATAATATTTGATTAATTATTATTTCTATTTCTAAAAACTCCAGATTAAAATCGGTTAATTCGTTTAGGAGTTCCAATGGGACAGACAGACACACAGATATGTGAAACTTATAACACACTTCTTTTTATTGTGGTTAAAAAACATATTTTATTTATGACTTTAAATAACTATTAGTAATTACTGTCATTTAGTGTCAAATGGTTAATTGCTAATGTCAGGTTATCAGGTTGACCTCCTCGCGGTCGCCTTAGAAATCATCACAACTAATTTTTAGTGAATTCGCCACGATAGACTAACTTGTATCATCATAATCATTCATAACTTATTGTCCATTTCCATAGAGTATAAATTATAAGAAACGCAATATTTTTAAACTGAAAGAAAATATAAAATTTTCAATAAATATTTAATTAAAAATATAATAATAAATAAAAGAAATAAAGAACTACCTAAAAACAGCGATTCGTTTCAAAGTTTTACCTCAGTTCAAGTTTTTTCAATTCACAGTACATAGAAACTAAATATAGAATAGTTGAAGTTGACAGTTTATGGCATTTTGTCTTTATATTGTCTATTTATATTACGGCTGTATATGCTTATATTCTCATCCTTTCCAATAAGGTTAAGTGAAATAAAAAAGTCTATTTAAAAATTATTTTAACATGGCTTAAATTTATCTCATGTAAACAATACAATAATATTTATAGAAACTAAAATAGGTATAATTATGATTACTTAGCTGATAAAGGCAATGTGTACGTTACACTTCTAGTGTCTCAGGCATTCATATTCTATCTGAAAATCAGATGGGTCGTAAATTTGTTTGCCAGCTACGTAGTAAAAAAAACAAATAATTTGACAGTTTAAACATTGACACTTCGCTCTATACCATTTTTGACATTTGTACTAGCTCTATTTGCCGCCTTATTTTGACAATTCTGTCTGACTGTACTGGTCAGCTGACTTTCCGCGGTTTCTTGAATATAATTCCATTTTAAATAACTTTTTTTCATGTTTAAAATTCATTTTATACGTATCATTCAGACGTATAATTACTCTAAATATGTTCTTCAAAAAAGTGTACACTCTAGTGTTTATACGCAATGACAATCAGATATTGTTGGGGTTCAAAAAACGCGGTTTCGGTGTCAACAAGTGGAATGGATTTGGTGGTAAAGTTGAGCAAAACGAAACAATCGTAGAGGCTGCAGTACGTGAGCTCCGTGAAGAAAGCTGTGTTAACGTGAAGACCAGCGATTTAAAAAACATCGGCCACTTGGAGTTCACATTTGAAGGTGACCCCATGCTGATGGACGTAAGGGTATTTTCCACTAATAACTACGAAGGAACTCCAGCTGAAACAGATGAAATGTCTCCAAAATGGTTTAATTATGAGCATGTACCATTCAGTGATATGTGGCCGGATGATAAGCTCTGGTTTCCTTACATGTTAAAGAATAAAGCTTTTTATGCTAAATTCCATTATCAAGGAAACGATACGATATTAGATTATAAGATTCAGGAGCTTGACTCTATGGAAGCATTTTATGCAAACCAAAATAGTCCTTAAACAGTGTTAAAAAAAAATGCAATAGTATATTTCTTTCTTAGTGTATTATTTAGTATTAAAGTTACTAAATAAGGTACTTGACTATTGCTGACTGTGTAGTTGTAGATTTATGTAATACAGGGTATTATAAAGTATTCAGTTCAATTGTAAGTGATTATATTTGAAGAATTATGTAATAACTACAGGGTATCATAACATATACAGTGACCTCACTACTTTTCATTACTTTCATTCATCATATTACTCACTTATACCTGAAAGTGAGTAATATTCATAAATTAGAACATTGAAAGTAATAAAACCTTGATATAAACTGTACAATCACATGATTAATTTAGTATGAATATTGCAATTACTATCAAATTACAACTATGTTCCTTGAGTGATTCAGATGCATAAGTATTCACCTGGCTTTATGACTAATGTTATATAGTTTAGTTTAATGATAAGAGACATAAGTTTGGCAGTACATTGTTACTGTATTTTAATTCTCGAATTATTGTTTTTAGAGGCCAGAAAGTTATAACTTTATATAGCCAGTATTAAAACAGTATTGTTATTACTTAATAATCGATTGTACCTAATTCATAATGTTGTTTATTCATATCTAATGTTAAGTTTGAGTTTTCTTAAGCTTTGTTGGGATAGAACACAATTACCACAGTACTTAATATGTAGCACAATGTAGCAGAACGGCCCAGAGGATGATTATATTGTTATATAGGATGCTGTTTCTCATCTTTTGTACTAGTCTCATAGTCGGCTGGATCATGTAGATGTCACCATTGTTGCAGAATAGTAATATGATGTTGTTGGTTGAAGCTATATATATAGACTAGCAGACCCGGCCAGAAGCATTGCTGTGGCTAAGGTTCTCGAATAAAATTATATTGCGGCTATAAATATGAATTGAGATGTAAGCTACCCTATCTTTCAAGTTGGATCAAATTGCACACAATGCGCAAATCAAATTTGCAATCGATTCAGTTGTTTAAGAGTCCATTACGGACAAACAATGTGAAATGTAATATTAATATGTATATATTTACAGATGATAGTGAACGGACAAAATGTACAATATAATATTGATTTTATATACTAAATAACAGTAGTGAAATGTAAGGCGATGACATAGTTTGTGCAGTGCTTAGTAGACAATATTGAGTTTGTCTGACTAACATTTATTAATTGCAAGTGTGGCTGATATGGAAAGTGTCCCAGATTTATTTTCATGTATGTTTTAACTTGTACTTAATTTTGTACTATATTTTCTATTGTTTTATTGTTCGATTTTAGTATACACATGTTTCGACACCTAGACATAAGTATACAGTGCAGCTGTTACTAGATAATCCATAATTTACATAAGTCTTTATTAGACTCTAAACTTATGATAAACTTACCTTCATCTAAAATTATTTTAACAAATTACTTATGTGTACAAGTCCATTTAATTACTTCATGGATTTATACTATTTTGTTTAATTCCGCCACTATCAGCATGATAAAGTTTTGCGACCTTCTCTATTGATGATCAAACTTCACCTCTGAACAAGGCATCATCATCATCATCAGCAATTGGAACCAATTGTATGTGTCAACTGCTGTTAGAAACGTTACGACCTTCTCTATTGATAACCAAATTTCATCTGAACGAGGCATCAGGCAATTGGAACCATTAGTATGTGAACTGCTATTAAGTGTTCTCTATTGGAAGCGTTATGAGCTTCTCTACTGATGATCAAATTTCATCCCTGAACGAACCATCAAGCAATTGGAACCATCAGTATGTATCAACCGTTATTAGAAGCGTTAGGGCCTCTATTGGAAGCGTTATGACCTCTATTGGAACCGTTACGAGTTTCTTTCTCTACTGATGATCAAATTTCATCTTCGAACGGGGCATCGGGCTGTTGGAACCATCAGTATGTATCAACCGGTATTAGAAGCGTTACGACCTGCTCTATTGGTGATCAAATTTCATCTCTGAATGAGACATCAGGCGATTGGAACCATCAGTATGTATCAACCGGTATTAGAAGCGTTACGACCTGCTCTATTGGTGATCAAATTTCATCTCTGAATGAGACATCAGGCGATTGGAACCATCAGTATGTATCAACCGTTATTAGAAGCGTTACGACCTGCTCTATTGGTGATCAAATTTCATCTCTGAATGAGACATCAGGCGATTGGAACCATCAGTATGTGTCAACCGTTATTAGAAGCGTTACGACCTGCTCTATTGGTGATCAAATTTCATCTCTGAATGAGACATCAGGCGATTGGAACCATCAGTATGTGTCAACCGTTATTAGAATCGTTACGACCTGCTCTATTGGTGATCAAATGTCTCTGAATGAGACATCAGGCGATTGGAACCATCAGTATGTGTCAACCGTTATTAGAAGCGTTACGACCTGCTCTATTGGTGATCAAATTTCATCTCTGAATGAGACATCAGGCGATTGGAACCATCAGTATGTGTCAACCGTTATTAGAAGCGTTACGACCTGCTCTATTGGTGATCAAATTTCATCTCTGAATGAGACATCAGGCGATTGGAACCATCAGTATGTGTCAACCGTTATTAGAATCGTTACGACCTGCTCTATTGGTGATCAAATTTCATCTCTGAATGAGACATCAGGCGATTGGAACCATCAGTATGTGTCAACCGTTATTAGAAGCGTTACGACCTGCTCTATTGGTGATCAAATTTCATCTCTGAATGAGACATCAGGCGATTGGAACCATCAGTATGTGTCAACCGTTATTAGAAGCGTTACGACCTGCTCTATTGGTGATCAAATTTCATCTCTGAATGAGACATCAGGCGATTGGAACCATCAGTATGTGTCAACCGTTATTAGAAGCGTTACGACCTGCTCTATTGGTGATCAAATTTCATCTCTGAATGAGACATCAGGCGATTGGAACCATCAGTATGTGTCAACCATTATTAGAAGCGTTACGACCTGCTCTATTGGTGATCAAATTTCGCTTTTGAATCATCATCATCAATTAAACCGATATAGTTTGAAAGCCGAGTGTTCAGTTCGGCTACCAAACTCGTCACACCAGTTAGTGGTATAAAACAAAATAATATAAATCCATTAAAACAGTAAACAATTCAACTAATTATGACTTAACTATGTAGACTGTAGCTAACAACTTAGATTAGATACAATATTGCGATTTTATATAAACAATTTGAGAATTGCAGTAAAAGCTATGTAGTACTTTCATTTGCAATTGTGAAATTGTCGAATAGTCAATTGCAAAACTGAAGATGAATCTATTTCAAATAGAGCTACTATTGAATTATTGTTAATTATTATTATTTATTTGAAATATTAATAATATGTTATCAACATTATGTTTCAAATCATGAACAATATTACAATTACTCCTTATAATAAATTTAATAGTTATTCATCGAGACAAAACGCTCTCTGCTATTCTGCTATAAGATTTTATCGGTAAATTATTACAATAAAAAATCAACATCTGACAAAAATAATATAATTAAATATCTATAATTATACATAATTAAATATCAGATAAAGTAATGAAAAAACAAAACAGTTCGTTTACAATAACATAGTGTTGGGATGACCTAGTAAGGATAGCAATTTTTTTTATACTACATACGGCCCATCTGATGGTAAACGGTTCCCGTAGCCTATGGACGCCTGAAACACCATGTGGTCGCGTCCCCGTGGCCTACCCTAAGCAATGTCTATCAGGTGCATCCCACTCTTCCATATATTGAGATGTTTTTTTTAGATTATATAACTGTTGATTAACAAACTGTTACTTATTGTTTAAGATAAACCTTCATTAGTATCTACATTCCGCCTGTGATTATGTGATTCAATAATTTTGTAAAACCCATTAAATATGCTGTAAGCATACATTTATGCGTTTTAATCGTACACCAAGTTCCCCGAAAAGGTCATAAAGCTTATGTTATAGGTACTAGACAATAATATAAAGAAATAAGATACTTATTTTAACCTTTCGAATGTCTGTCGTCTCGCAGCAATAGAAAATGAAGAGGCGGTAAGCGCGGCCAGCTGTATTTTTTAAAATGCGTTTCAACCTTATTTTGTTTTAAATAAGGATGAAATTGGTTAAAAAGAAGTCACGGTTTTGCGGGCACAGATCTGTGACGAGACGGTAATACGGTTTAAGAGGGGTGCACAGTTCTGTGTCATAACGTTCGAAGGGTTAAAATACATACATAATATACATAGAGAACACCCAGACCGATACAATCACTCAGGAATACAAATGTTGATACCGTGCGAGGAATCGAACCCGCGACCATCGGAAATAAAGCGGTGTGCTAAACCAGACATGCGAGGCCGTCATTTTAAGAACGAATATGATCTTTTCTTGAAGGTTTCAATATCGTATACGGCAATATATTCTGTATTTATATTTTTGAAAAAGCACTATGGTATTATGGTTACTAGCCATAACATCATTATTGTATGTATTTATATTTAAAAAGTGTTCAAGTATTTTTGTCAGTTACTTAGTAACCGTAACCGTATAGTTGTTCATACACTGAATTTTCATTTAATGTTAGACATAGACACCTATATAAAAATACATTGTAAATAAACTGTCTTTAAAAAAAAGTAATTTAATTGAGTTTCTTGCCAGTTCTTTTCAATTGGATCTATATACCGAATTGGTAGGGAAAAAATAAAATTATAATGTAAAAATTTGACGTTCATAAGCGGCTAAAATGTCCTACATAAATAAATGATTTTTGAATTTGAATTTGAATAACAAGCTCTACTTGGGATTAGATGGCGCTGTGTGAATTGTCCAAGATTATTAAGGAGTCAATAAAAATGAAGATTTTTACTAAAAACAAGTTTATTTGATTCGTTCTCACTCACTTTTTTACATGATTATAATTCAGATGCGTATCCATTTGAACTGAACAAAAAATATGGTTAATCATGACTCAACAATGGTTAGACCAACGGTACAAGTTATAATAATTTACTTAAAAAAACCGACTCCAAATACTAAAAAACAACATTTCACCAATTTGAAAGTATATTCTCGAATAAAAGCTTTTTAAAATCGATTTATTAATTACGAAGTTATGAACAAACATTCGATAAAAAAAATGTAACTTCTTTTTTGGAGTCCGTTAAAATTTAGCGGTATTTAGCAACAGTTAGTGATTGTTACAAGTTCAACAGTAACAGGCCTTATCCTTTCTGGTAAGAATCTGCCCTATCAGGTCAAATTTATACCATCTGTATGGCAACCATGGTTGGTGCATCAATACCATTACATATGACTTTCAGTCATATAACTTAATTATAGATAAAGATTACTAATATTATAAACGCGGACATTTGTGAGTATGCATAGATAACGGCGAATCCAGGGAGGGTCATGGGGTCATGACCCCCCTGAGCCCAGGACTTAGGTGGACCACTAATTGAACATAATGATTTTATTTTTATATATTTATTACCATACAGATTTTAATATTTTTAAGTACAGTACTTACGTACATTAATAAAATACCTACTTTTTACTTGTATCTGTTGTTATCAATATTGCATAATAAGTTCTTGAATTGACCACGACTATGTGACCCCCTCCTGGCGCCAAACCTGGATCCGCCCTTGTGCATGGATGGATGTTTATTAATCTCACGCAAAAACTACTCGACGGATTTTAATGAAACTACAATAATACAGCTTATAGATCAGAATAACACATAGACTATATTTCTTTTATATTAATGAGTTTCTGTGTATATTAATGAGGCATGACTTTGATAATACTTTACAAATAAATTAAGGCAATGCTTTAGAAGTCATCCTAAATAATTTTGGGTTAAATCGATTTAGTAACTATATGTATTGTGAATGTTAGTTTTGGCACTGGATTAGATATTGCACCTAATTGCACTCACATAAAAGTTCAATTTAGTGTTTGACATTAAGTTTATTGAAATGAAATGAAATGTATTTATTTGCATGTTTTCAAAATCTACCCTGTATCATCGTAAGCACAGATATTATATTATAATAGAGTCCGTTAGTTTTCTGTTCCCGCGCGTTCCCCTTCCTAACTAGTACTGAACCGACTGTACAGCGGCCTTGACGCGCGCGCGCATTTGTTGTGAATTAAAATAAATTTGAACTGTGAAACCTACTGTGAACCTACTGTGAAACTTTATTCGAGACCCTGAAGCCCAAGAAATCCGCAGAACCATACAGGTACGTGACAGACATAGTAAATTCCCTAACATTTTGGTAGCAGAGAGTAGTTTCCCAAACAGCATGAAATATGGTATAAATATTAAAAGAATGTCAGTATTAATAAATTTGTCCACATATTTCGCCATTGTTATTAATATGATATAATATTAATGTATGAATAATTTCAAAAACAGTTCATATATAAAAACTGTATAAGATACTTTTGATGCGAGCGGCCTAGTGGTTTACTTAGATCTAAACTCCCGAGTTCTATTCTGGTCTACACAAAAAACGGTCAGTTTTGTATTTCTTACTGACCCTCCGATTCTGAAAACACTGATAACGAACAAAACAACTAAAATTATTAACTGCCTTTACACATACGTTATTACACGTGTGAATCATCTTTCATGGGGGGAAGGGCATTGTTAGTAATGTGGACTGATGATCCCATTGCTAGCAATGTACCATGTCAGGTTGACCTCCACGCGGTTCCCCTGGAAACTATCGTGATAAATTCCTGCTGAATATGTCACGATAGGCTAACTGACCTGACCTCATGCTCATCTTATCATCCTCCACTGGTGCTCCGCCAGCGTAAACCGTTAGCGCAGGCGGACGCTCCATTCCATTATCATCCATAAAAAAAAATCCTCTTTCATGGGGGGAAGGTGATTGTCAGTAATGTGGACTCATGACCCCATTACTAGCAATGTACCATGGCAGGTTGACCTCCACGCGGTTCCCCCTGGAAACCATCGAGATACATTCCCGGTGAATTTGTCACGTCGGGCTAACTGATCTGACTTCATGTTCATCCTATCATCCTCCACTGGTGCCCCGCCAGCGTAAACCATTAGCGCGGGTGGGTGCACCATTCCATTAACATCCTTTTTTCCTGATTTTACCTAAATGTCGTTTGGCTAAAGTTAGTAATTCGTTTTATGGCAATTGCGTAAGGTTTTACAATAAAATACCAGAGTCTGTTATAAATCTGCCAGAAAAAAGATTTAAATGTCAAATAAAACACTTCCTTTGCAAAAAAGCTTACTATAAAATTGAAGAATTCGTTAACGATAATAATGTTTTTGTAGAAAAATTTTAAATACATAGCACTGACAATATTATCTGATTACACTAATAATGAGTGCGTAGCGATTTCTGTTGATTGTCGCATGCCTCTTACTTGTTACACTGTAATTATTTATATAAAAAAAAAATCTATTAAAAAGAGCAACACACAAGTTTCTTGCTCATTCTTCTTGTGATGAATCTGCATTCCGAATGAGTGGTAGAATCAAAATATGACTATTCAAAAGTGCTTGTAATGAGTTTATTTGAATAAAGATTATTTCTATTTCTATTTCTTTAAAAAAAAATCGTCACGATTGCGCGCGGTCGTTCCCGCGCTAAATCGCGCGCGTTTCTGATCGCACGTGAATGAACGTGTTGTGTAAAGGTAGCTAATATTTATTTGTAATTTTAAAGAACATTTTGAACATTTTTACACCACGCCAACTTGTAAATCTGTGGTAGATTAAACACTTTATTTTGACCAATAACAAAACTATTTGCAATATTGACTGATCAGTATAGTCAATGATTTTATTTTTTATAACAGTGCACTGTATCGATATTATAAGTCCAGTGCAGTTTCCCATCACTCATCTTCGACATCCTCCAGACATGTCCTGGCTAGATTTCTTGCAAGAGCCAAGCGCAGTAGATCTGCCTTCTCCCCAACAAACTCTTTGGTCCTCAACTCCAGACATAACATGATCTCGAAGGTATCTGATGAGGAAAATACCGCCTCGTCTGACTCTAGAAGCGGTAGTGTATCTAGAAGTAGTGTTTCCCAGAAACTGAAACAAAATTTTTTTTTTTAATAAATGGGCAGGCAAAGGACGGCGAATATACAGTCTTTTGAGTACACAACTGTTTCTTTAACTAGGCGTTCTGGCGTCATAATTAGAACTTAACGGCCCAAGTAGTCTAGCGGTTTAGTTCACCGCCTTACTTCCAATGGTCGTGGGTTCGATTCTGCGCGAACATTTGTATTTTTTTTTATTCAATTAATCTATACATATAAATAAAATTGGAGTGTATGTTCGTAATATTGAAATAATATTTTTCTAAAATAAGAGTAGCCTAAATTACTCCTTATTACATCAGCTACCTGCCAAAAATATTCCCGTCAAAATCTGTCCAGTCATTTCAGAGATTAGCCGGAACAAACAGACAGGCAGACAAAAATTGTAAAAAATGTTAGTTTGGTATATGTACTGTATTTATATTCATATGCATGTAGTAAAAAATTATTAATACAATATTACAAACAGACACTCCAATTTTATTTATATGTACAGATATGTATTTACAAAAAAAAAGTTAAAAATAAACCGAGAAACTTCCAAAATTTTACATTTACATTTATCACGCCCATACTATTAGAGCAAGAGCCCACGACGGCCAGACATACGTCATTTTAGTAAACGTGAAAGTTCTTCTATTTGTGTCCCCAACACAGGTAAGAACGATCCCCAAACATGAAACCTGGATCGTGGTTCCTTTGGCAGGTACCAGGTAACAAAGCTGTAAAAAAATCATATCAAAGTCGTTATTTTAAGAAACTCCATATTTTCATATATTGTTCGTAGCATTATTATAACTTGCGCTGCTCATTGCCAGACACGTAGTGTGGTTCCAACCCCCCGCCGGACCTCCCTAAACTATACTATTTTATAAATAAACTTACGTCATTTTAATAAAGCTGAACTTTATATATATTATTGAGAGAACTATTAAACTGAGTTTCCTAAATTGCCAGACAGTTTTCTTGGTTCCTTATCCTAAACTCATTGAAACCGTAATTTGGGTAACAACGGTGTATACAATTTCATATCAAATTCGTTATTTTAAGATGCTCCATTTTTTCACATATTGCTCGTAACATTATTATAACTTGCTCTGCTCGTTGCCAGACCCTTACTGTGGTTCCAACCCCCCGCCGGACCCCCCTAAACTATACTATTTTATAAATAAATTTACGTCATTTTAATAACCTGAAATTTATATATATTATTGAGAGTTATCTCAAACTGAGCAAGAGCAAGTTAATATTGTTACGAGCAATATGTGAAAAAATGGAGCATCTTAAAATAACGAATTTGATATGAAATTTTTTACACCTTTGTTACCTGTTACCTACCAAAGGAACCACGATCCAGGTTTCATGTTTGGGGATCGTTCTTACCTGTGTTGGGGACATACATACAAGAACTTTCACGTTTACTAAAATGACGTATGTCTGGCAGTCGTGGGCTCTTGGTCTATATAGTACTAGATTAGTAGAAACATTTTAGTTTCCTTATTTTAAGTGGTCCGGTTGAGTTCGTCATCGTCGTATGACATTGGTCTGTAATAGATAATGATAGTATTCAAGTGTATACACGTGTTTTATCTTACCACTTCAAATTAATATTACCTTAGTTTCGATATCAAAGTTCGTAATCTGCAGTTTGAACTGGCTGGAAAGAGGGATTTTTCCAGCCAGTTCGTTAGGTTTCGGATATAGGAATGATTATTATACCGGATACGGATACGGATACGGATATGAAATTAGTTCGGATTATCCGTTAGTTTCGGATAACTTCGGTTACGAATGTTATTTTTTTTAAGGAATTTCATAAGTAAATTACAAATAACTAATAAAATAGTTACATAACGTGTCTCAATTAGGCTCCGCCCCTATCCGATTTTATCTGACACTTTTATTTCGGATTCGGTTACGGTTACGAATTTTTTTTATCGGATATCCGATAGTTTCGGTTACGGTTACAAAGCTCCCTAACATCCTTGGCTGGAAAGCATACAGCTAAAATATATTTAAATAAAAACTTCTTGGTGGTCGTTCGAAATTCAAAAATTCTCAGGTTTCGTTCCCGCCGCTATTTTATTAACGACTATACATTTTTATAACTACACGTATGGATTTGTTATTTTGATTCTTCAAATTAATACATACACCTTAGTGTCGATATCAAAGTTCCTAATATGTAGTTTGAACTGGCTGGAAAGGAACATACAGCTAAAATATTGAAATAAAGATTTCTTGGTGGTCGTTCGGAATTCAAAAACTCGCAAGTTTCGATCGAAATTTAAAAACTCGCGAGTTCCGATTAAAATTCAAAAACTCGCGGGTTCGTTCCCGCTATTATTTTAATTTCAACGGTGAAACATTTTAATAATTGCACGTGGAGATTTATTATCTTGCCACATAAACTAATATATACTAGGTGTATATATAATAATGCACTTAGTTTCAATATCAAAGTTCATAACAAATTGAGTTGGCTGGAAAGCGACATACAACTAAAATATTTAAACAAATACTTCTTGTTGTTCGTTCGAAATTCAAAAATTCGCGGGTTTCGTTCCCGCCACTATTTTATTAAAGACTATACATTTTTATAACTACACGTATGGATTTATTATCTTGCCACTTCAAAATAATATATACACCGTAGTTTCAATATATCAAAATTTATTATAATTTGAACTGACTGGAAACATACAAGTAAAGTAATAAAAAGAAATACTACTTAGTGCTCGATCGAAATTCAAAAACTTTATTGCGCGTTCCCGCCACTATTTTAATTTGAACGATGATACATTTTTATGACTACACTTATGAATTTATTATCTTGCCACTTTAAATTAACAATATCTTATTTCAATATCAAAGTTTATAATAAATTGAGTTGGCTGGAAAGCGACATACAACTAAAATATTTAAACAAATACTTCTTGGTGTTCGTTCGAAATTCAAAAATTCGCGGGTTTCGTTCCCGCCACAATTTAAATGACGAAACATTTTAAATAACTATACCTGTGGATTTGAACTGGCTGGAAAACAGCATATAAATAAAATATTATTATATTTAAATAAAATCTTCTTACTGTTTGTTCGAAATTCAAAAACTCGCGGGTTGTCGTTCCCGCCTCTGTTTTATTTTTAACTAGCTACTCACCCCGACTACGCACGAGTGTACATGTATTATACATATAAACCTTCCTATTGCATCACTCTATGTATTAAAAAAACCGCTTCAAAATCCGTTGCGTAGTTTTAAAGATTTAAGCATACATAGGGACGTACAGACAGCGACAGCGACTTTATTTTATAATATGTAATCATAATAAAGCGTACAAATATTATTATTCAGCTTTACCGATTTCCGTTGCAGTTTTCGCTAATGTGTAGGTTTTAGGTTTTAGATATTTATTCTCATTAAGAATTACAAATAATTCACTTAACATGAGAACTAAAAGCATAAACTTATACAAAATTAAATATTAGTGGAAATACAAAAGAAGGTGTACATATATAATGCGGACGGTGCAGTAACAAAGTCTACGCAGTATTACGATAAATGATAACATTTATTGGTTGCTTACCGCGCATAGACACACCAGCTTTACTGTTCACATGTACACAGATGTATCAGATCATCATGTACTAGATGTGGCATATTAGAGAGTTTATTTTTTTTAATGTTTTTTATTCTTTTTTTTTAATATTAATTTTTATTTATATTTTATTTATCTATTAATTATTTATGATATTTACAAATAAAAATAAATAAATTATAAGAAAAACACTATATATATCTATAGCGACATATTTTTTGAGATTACTAATAGTGGTTTATTATATAGTGTTTCAATAGTTTTTTAAATGTAGTTATTGATTGCGATTCTTTAATGTCTTTGGGGAGTTTATTATAAATCTGTACGACTTCACATACAATGGTTTTTCTGCCATAGGTTTTACTTAGATTATGTTTGTTTTATTCGAATCAGTTACATTTGGGCTCAGCGTATACTCTGTGAATCCTTACTTACTAATATTATTACTAGATAAGTAAATAATAATAATCTCAGGACGATTCACACAGCGCCGTCTAGACCCAAGTTACGCTAGCTAAAGCTTGTGTTATGGGTACTACATAACTGATACAAATTTAAATTCAAAAATGATTTATTCATGTAGGAAGGTAACTGTTTATGAACTTCAAGTTCTTTACATTATAATTTTAATTTTTTTCCCTACCGTCCATTTCTGTATATAGATCCAGTTGAGAAGAACTGACAAGAAACTCAATTGAATTGCTTTTTTTTAAAAGCCGGTTTATTTACAATGTATATTTATATAGGTGTCTATGTCTAACATTAAATGAAAATCAAGTACATGAACAACTATTGCCATGCACGCTCGTCATTTAAGTAATCGTTTAGTGAGTAATAGGCTTTGCTATATCTAGAGGGGGGAAAGAGGATTGTCAGTAATGTGGACTAATGATCTTATTGCTAGCAATGTACCATGTCAGGTTGACCTCCACGCGGTTCCCCTCGACCTGACCTCATGTTCATCTTATCATCCTCCACTGGTGCCCCAGTCTATAAATACAGGCAACTGTCATCCGCGCACATGTTACAGCGCAGACACTATAGTTGTAAGTATTGTTTACTCAGAGAAAAGTAAATAAAATAGTTGATTTTTTTTTATAACGGTTTTGTTCCTCGGTATAAAAAAAATAAAATTTGTTCTAATTTGTTTTTTTTTGGTGAAATTAGTTTTATAGGTATATAATACAATTTTTCGTTTGGCTTTCCGTTGTCCTACAGTTGTGAATTGTTTATGGGTGCTGATTGTTACTCAAATAGTCCTTTGAGCCGGATTGATCGCTTGTATCGTTATATTACAGTCATAGTTTCACTCAATTATATTATTGTTACATTATATGAGCATATATAAAGCATCTAAAAAAGTAGTGTTTAACTTCATTATCATTACTATAATAGTCCTTTGAGCCGGATCAATCGCTTATATTACAGTGATAGTTTCACTCAATTATATTATTGTAGCCAGCGTATACCGTTAGCGCAGGCGGGTGCATCTTTCCATAAAAAAAATACTGTTCAAAATCTACCCTGTACCATCGTAAGCACAGATTATTATATTAGAGTCCGTTTGTTTGTGTTCCCGCGGTTTCTCTTCCCCTCCCTTACCCAGTACTGAACCGACTGTTCGGCGGCCATGACGCGCGCGCATTGTGTTGTGAATTAAAATAAATTAGAACTGTGAAACCTACTGTGAAAGTGTGTGAAAGCTAGCGAAGATATCTTCGAGAACCTGAAGCCCAAGAAATCCGCAGAACCATACAGGTACATGACTGACGCTTCCATCATTTTTTACTATATATATACAGAGAGTAAATTCCCTAACATTTTGGTAGCAGAGTAGTTTCCCTAACAAATACATAGATGTATTTTTTTTTTGTAAATACTTATATATTATACAGAATTACTTGTTTACTTACTAGTCGGGAGCAATTTTTGATGTCAACAACGAGACCAGTAGTTTGGCAGCCTTCTTGAATTCTCTAGTTTTATACAACCGATGGAAGTCGCAGTATTTTCCTGAAACATAAACATATAAAGTTATTAAAAATTAATATTATTCGACGACCTCGGTGGTCTAGCGGTGTAGCACACCGCTTTACGTCCGATGGTCTCGGGTTCGATTCGACGGCACAAACATTTTGTATTCATGAGTATGATTGTTTGTATCGGTCTGGGTGTTTTCTATGTATAATATGTATGTATTTACGAAAAAAAAAATTATCTATGTCCTTGTATCAGTTATCTAGTACCCGTAACACAAGCTTTGGCTAGCTTAACTTGAGACTAGATGGCGCTGAGTGAATTGTCCTGAGATTATTATTATTATATTGTCAAGTTCAGAAACTAAATTTAAAGAGCATGATGGAAGCTGCGCCAACAAGAGCGTGGTTCTTATGAATGAACTATGAAAATAAGAGAGGAAAATATTGTAATTTGAATATTGTATAAATTGAAAGTCCACTATACCATGTGCGTTGTAGCATGGTGCGAGTGACAGTTTCATTATCGTTTCGATTCCCTATTGAAAGTTTCCGCGAATTACAAATTATGACTATATATGATTAGTATTATATTTCAGCTGTACCACACTCGTAATATATTAAATCACTAGCTGTTCCCGCGACTACCGTGGAAGTTAACTTTATTTTTCTAAATTAAAAGTAGCCTAAGTTACTCCTATTACATCAGCTACCTGCCAGAAAAAGTCCCGTCAAAATCTGTCCAGCCATTTCAGAGATTAGCCGGAAGACAGACAAAAATTGTAAAAATGTTATTTTGGTGTATGTACCGTATTTATATTCATATGCAGGTAGTAAAAAACGGTTATTTCAATATTACAAACAGACACTCTTATATGTATAGATTAATAACCACTGTTGGTTGTGTTAAAGCTGCTTTCTGTTTACTTTGGGAGAAGTAATATTTAGATTTAAATTTAAATAAAACGATGTTGTGTCTTCACGATTATATATTGGCAACTGACTGTAATATACAAACGGTGGCCGGCCGGCAGATACACACATAACTATAACTGCGGTCCGATAGAGACCAAACAACTATAGTAACTTAAATTTGACCCTTCTGACGGGGTTCTAGTAAAACAGTGTCTAATTTTTCGTTTGATTTTTTTAAACTTTATTTTCCGTTATCCTACAGAGTTGTGAATTGTTTATGGGTGTTGATTGTTACTCAAATAGTCCTTTGAGCCGGATCGATCGCTTGTATCGTTACAGTGATAGTTTCACTCAATTATATTATTGTTACATTATATGAGCATATATAAGTCATCTATAAATATATTACATTATAACGGTAACGGTAGGCATCATAACTTTTCAATCGCTCTAACTAAAAAAGTAGTGTTTAACTTACTTTTAAATATTCTTTCTTCGTACTGTCTATTATTGTGTTTTACATACTTTATTAAATATAATGAAATGTATTGTGCCTGTCTGAACTGTCGCTTATGATTATAACTACTTCTTACCAGTGGCGTAGTTAAATAATCAAGGGCCCTGGGGCAAATCAAAAAGTGGTTCACTGCTCGGCAGTGGGGCCCTACATCACAGTTTTATTAAAACGTACATATCGCTATCTGTCAAATTGACAACACTGCCAACCCACAGAAAGAATTTAGGGGAATTCTGAAAGTAACCATGATTAAAGTTGACTTGCAACTTGTGATATTTATTTTGAAAATGGGACTAATTTTTAAAAGTTCGATCAATATTTTCTGGTATGGGCTCGAAGGACCCCTGAGCTTGATGGCCTCGGGGCACTGCCCCGCCTAGCTCCTAGGTGACTACGTCACTGCTTCTTACAATATACGTTGAAACTAGTGACTTTTATTTAAATAAAGAAATTTTATAGCTACAAACCGATCCGGCTCGAAGGACCAATCTATATAATGGCATGTTCGTACCTAGGAAGAGCAGACGGTCGGCTCGCAGCAGCTCGGGCCCGGCGGACAGCAGCAGGTCGCGTGCGGGCAGCGGCGCGCCGCCAGCGTACGCGCGCAGCACGCCGTCCGCCGCGCGCGCGCTCAGCACTCCGCACCGCGCGCGCAGAGCCCAGCCCAGCGCCGCGCCCGCACCGCCGCCCGACAGCCGCCGCGCGCCCATACCGCGGCACACACACTGCGCTACACGACCACACTCTTATAACGCGCGCAGAGCCCAGCCCAGCGCCGCGCCCGCACCGCCGCCCGACAGCCGCCGCGCGCCCATACCGCGGCACACACACTGCGCTACACGACCACACTCTTATAACGCGCGCAGAGCCCAGCCCAGCCGCGCCCGCACCGCCACAGCCGCCGCGCGCCCAGCGGCACACACACTGCCGACCACACTATAACGCGCGCACACACATACTGCGCTGACCACACTCTTATAACGCGCGCAGAGCCCAGCCCAGCCGTTTGCTCGTTTGCCACCATAGTAGTACAAATAAAATCCTAGTCTCGAATTAACATAATGTAAGAACCACTAATAAATAATAACGACTTAGCCTTTGAAGCCGACTACCAGAAGAGAAGCCCCAAGTAGCGCCCGTGACTTGTGACACGGGTGTAGGTTTAAAAGGCCCTTTAGAATTAACACTCGCCTTCACTACTTGCAGCTTCCCCCCAGGCACAACTAAGACCGGGATAAACCCATTTCTTATACTATTGGATACTAATATCCAAAACACAACCGACACGCTCTGCGCTCGTTGACTGAATGCCGTGGCTCACCCAACGAAAGAGAATTATTCAACTACCGACCTCCGTATTTATAGACCGAAGTCCATGTAGTAGAGAGAGAAGCGGAGATAACATTCACCATATGACAAACAACTTAGTTCGGCCTATAAATACTAGATGGCGCTATTAACAATATTTGTAATAATCCTTACATTTAATACTTCATTACTTCTAAACACGAACTACCTTCTTTTAATATCTTTTCAAAATATCGGATTTTTTACAATACTGATGTGAACCCTAACAATAGCTCAAAGGAAGGAAAGTTTGTAAAACCATTCAACTTACCAACACCCAAGAGTCCATATTTCTTTGCCTCAGCGAGCACTCTCATAGCTTTAGCATTTGAATGCAACGGCACCCTCTCCAGCATGAGCTCAGCGCGCCGTAGACCTTCAGGTGGACAGGAGGCCAGGTACGACAGCCCCACCGACCACAATGACTTGTGCTCCATGAGTAAACAGCCATATTCTAGTATGAGACTATCTCTTAGTCGAGTTGTAACGCTGTAACATAGAGCATACGGTGATTAGGTACAGATTATTCAATTCAAATTTAAAATATCATTATTCATGTAGGTCTATTACAGACTCTTATGATATCAAATCTACCGTCAGTTCGGAATTATTTCGAGATGAGAAGAACTGACAAGAAACTCAGCTCTTCAAAATTCCTATATCTTTTTAGCTTAAATCTTTAAAAGTACGCAACGGATTTTGATGCGGTTTTTTTAATAGTGATTCAAGAGGAAAGTTTATATATATAATACATGTACACCCGTGCGAAGCCGGAGCGAGTAGATAGTAAGAGTATAAAGTGAATACTAACTTTGTCTGATGCATATCAAGTATCTTCAACTTGCCGCAGTGATACAACATGTCTGTGAGGTGTGTGGCAAACCAGCCGTTGTCCGATATTTGTTGGATCTCATGTATAACCTGAAAATAATCTAGTTTCAAAACTCACGGTATATTTAAGTATCTGTAATAGATTTAGATGAACAGATATTTTTTTATTAAGGGGTTTTGACTCTCATACGGTGCTTAGATTATAGCTTTAAATCTTAGGCAAGGCAAAAAAGCAACTATAATAGATCTCATAATAGTACCTGTAGAGCTACGATCTGCATAGATCTATTGTGTTCGCGTATTTTTTTGAGTTCGCTGGCCTGGTCCATGAACAAGAATTGAAGGATATTCTTAGGAGCGATCAGTACCTGGTGCAGGTCTCCGTCCAGCAGCGCGCGCACGGTGGTCCATGGCGGCGCGAGGAGCCTGCGTACCGCGCGCATGGTGCAGGTCTCCGTCCAGCAGCGCGCGCACGGTGGTCTCCAGCCGGCGGCGCGGGGAGCTGCGTACCTGGTGCAGGTCTCCGTCCAGCAGCGCGCGCACGGTGGTCTCCAGCCGGCGGCGCGGGGAGCTGCGTACCTGGTGCAGGTCTCCGTCCAGCAGCGCGCGCACGGTGGTCTCCAGCCGGCGGCGCGGGGAGCTGCGTACCTGGTGCAGGTCTCCGTCCAGCAGCGCGCGCACGGTGGTCTCCAGCCGGCGGCGCGGGGAGCTGCGTACCTGGTGCAGGTCTCCGTCCAGCAGCGCGCGCACGGTGGTCTCCAGCCGGCGGCGCGGGGAGCTGCGTACCTGGTGCAGGTCTCCGTCCAGCAGCGCGCGCACGGTGGTCTCCAGCCGGCGGCGCGGGGAGCTGCGTACCTGGTGCAGGTCTCCGTCCAGCAGCGCGCGCACGGTGGTCTCCAGCCGGCGGCGCGGGGAGCTGCGTACCTGGTGCAGGTCTCCGTCCAGCAGCGCGCGCACGGTGGTCTCCAGCCGGCGGCGCGGGGAGCTGGTGCAGCAGCGCGCGCACGGTGGTCTCCAGCCGGCGGCGCGGGGAGCTCTACCTGGTGCAGGTCTCCGTCCAGCAGCGCGCGCACGGTGGTCTCCAGCCGGCGGCGCGGGGAGCCGGGTGCAGGCTCCGTCCAGCAGCGCGCGCACGGTGGTCTCCAGCCGGCGGCGCGGGGAGCTGCGTACCTGGTGCAGGTCTCCGTCCAGCAGCGCGCGCACGGTGGTCTCCAGCCGGCGGCGCGGGGAGCTGCGTACCTGGTGCAGGTCTCCGTCCAGCAGCGCGCGCACGGTGGTCTCCAGCCGGCGGCGCGGGGCGGGTGCGGGGGCTCTCATGGCGGCGCAGGCTGCGGCGGCGGCCCCGAGCTCTCGTCGCCGCGACCACGGCGCGGTGTACATCACCCAGCCGCCCACCAAGTCGAACCACGACGAGTACATCTCGCGGACCGACTCGAATGCTGAGTACTCGCCGATTATTAGCTGATTGAAAGGAAATTTAGTAATACATTTTTGTTCTTGAGCATATGTATTATTAATTGTGTGTGAGACATTAATATTAATAATAAACACACACAACCTGCAAGTATGATAGCTGAAAAATATTAAAATATAAAGAATTTAAAACTGAAATAACCGAACTCTGGCACATAAAATTAACAGTAGTTTCAATCGTCCTCTCAACTACAGGTGTCATACCAAAACAGATACATCAGTCAATAAATACCCTGAACTTGCCATGCATGCATTCTTTAACATGTTAAAGACAGTAGTTAGGTTAAGACTAATATGATCAAATCAGAACTTATATTTTGTATTTTTTTGTTGATCCTAACATTGGTTTTTTAATAAATATAAACTCTAATTAAAATATTTAAAGTATTACCCTTATTATAAGTTCCAGCTTAGGTTGAGATACAAGGGTACGGCTGGACAGTTTAGAGCGGCATTCAGCCTGCCAGTGCTTCCATGTTATAGTGAACTCTCCAGTTGAGATCCCATTGTAAACCTGTAAAGAAGAATAGTCCAACTCTTTATACAGATATAGAATAATAATAATAAAGGCTTTTATTTACTATGGTCCTGTTAGTCTATGTTTATTAATTTTTTTTTTTTCTCGATATCTGAATATCAACAGTCTGTCATGTGACATAGGCCTCATCCAAGTATTTCCATAGAGTTAGTTCCCTTGCACTCTTAGTCCAAACTTTCCCCGCTACCTTCCTAATGTCATCTTCCCATCTGTCTGTCTGCCTCTGCTTCTTTTATGTCCTCTTGGGTACCAGTTGGGTAGGTATCATACTGATATAGAATAATTGTTTATAAAGAAAACTGATTCTCATGACCTAGATTATAAGCATACTCCCTTGAACAGCTTTACTCTTTATATAGAATATATATAATTAGTATAATATATAAATAGTTATAATATAGTATAATTTTTTTTTTGGTAGTTAGGTATCTGCATATATATATTATAAATTAGATACTGGTACCACACACAATATAAACATTATATATAGTCTCTATATAGAATATAGTATAATATATTCATAAATATATCTGATAACAACTTATATACTTGTTAATTGTCTACATATTAAGTGTTTTATTTTTTTATAATGTACAATACAGCCGCCGAGGCTTTGGAGTGTAGATGTATTGTACATATAAACCTTCTTCTTGAATCACTCTATTTATTGCTATAAACTGCATTAAAATCACTAAATTACAACAACAACAAACACATTTTCTATTTGCATGCGCCGCGAGGTCATGAGAGAGTATTGTTGTTGAGCATTACTCCGGTCATTATAGTACTACAAATGTATGACAAAATCACATGCTGGCGCTCAATACATCTCTAAAGTGAGGTCACGGGTGACCTTTGCGGCACTAAGATACAGATATTATGAGGTCACCGGTGACCTACATGGCGTTTAAAATGTTAAAAGATCTAAGCGAACAGACCATTGATGCAACTATACTTTAAACTATGTAAAAATATAAGATTTACTTACACTATATACAGGCATATTTCTTAATGAATTATCCACTAGCTTGAACTCATTACTCTCTGATGCAGAGTGGAGTTTGAGTAGAGCTCTCGCAACATCCACTCTTCCTTGAACCACCATGCCAATAACTGTGTCCCAATACTCCGGATGGTCCTCGGAACCTCGCTCGCAGGCCTCCAGCAGCTGTGCAGCAACCTGCTCATGACAGGGGAAGTGGAACCGCACCCACTCAAGCAAGAATGGCAACACTATATCACCCGGAATGTTGTCCACATATAAGATTTCACATAAATGCCATATACATTCTATAGAATAGAAAATCGTTATATGTGATAATAGAGAATTCTTCTCGACTCCGTCGGTCTCCTTCTCGGCGGCTTCCTGTAAGTTCTCTATGCAGACTCTGATAATAGAGCGATATTGGCGCGAAAGTTTCAGAAATTCAACTTGATTATCCGATGTTTTTGCTGCTTCAGCCGCCTTCTGTAGTAGTAGGTAGGTGCCATTAGATTCATTTACCAGTTTTCTAAGAATGGGTGTAAATAATAATATCTCCTGAGATATATTGAGAATTTTGTCGCCACTGCAGTCTACCGGCGTTTTACTAGTAGTTTGACTTCGAGGGTATATAGTAAACTTATTTCCACATCGCCAAGTACAGGCGACACGTTTCTCAAAACATTTATCCGGGAGAACCTAAAAATAAAAGAGCATAATAAAAAAAATGTGGAAATTCAGTTAACATAACCTTAAATTAGGTAAAACTCACGAAGGTTTTAATATTTTTATCCAATGTACTTCTATTAGCAATCGAAGGAGTACTTGAACTGATATTCATTTTGATAAACTTGTATTTAAAATTTTTTACATGAGAAAAAATAAACAAGAAAAAACAGTTCGATTTAAATTAAAATTTAAATTGCAATCGCTGGAAAGTAAAGCAAGCCATAACAAAGTAAACAGATCAGAGCTACTGTCATACGTACATGTCATGACATCAGTCATACGTCGTATTTTTCTGAATTTATGTTACTCTGTGTTTTTCGTAAACACCGTAAAAAGAATTTAAACCTTATTTCTAATAAATAAAGGACATTTTTGTCTTTGTAAATAAGAAAACATGTAAAATCTTATTTCAATAGAAATTTTAATATTTACTTCTTTTAAGTTTTTTCAGTTTTTAGTCACTTTCTTTCAAAAATCATGACAATATTTTATCTTTTCTGTTCATATGTACTTGATTTCTAAGAAGAAAAATTGTTTAAAGTGATAATCTGTATCAATTCAGAATAGATGCTAAAAGAATTTCTCATTGTTTTATAAATCCAATTATTGTTTGTGGATGAAATATACAAATTCAATTGCTGACATTCACATACATGACAATCAGTCAATCACTTGTCGCATCACTACAACTCACTCACGTAAATCTGGCAACATTGCAATTGGAAGACATGTTGATTTCAGTCAAAATTTGTCAATTCTTCAAAAAAAACTATTTTGTTTAGACCAGAATTAAACAAAATTATTAGATTTCGCGTAGTGATTTCGTGCCGTGTTATGTGATAATAATATAATGTGTAATATATTACATAAATAACAGAAAAAAGCGTGTTTTTAATACAATATAGTGAATCATTGCCACTTGGTAAGTTTTCTTGCTCCAAATTTTGCTTGTCACTAACTTTCTATGTAGTAAATAGTTTGAGCAATTCACGCGCTATATCGGCATCCTTAGACCTTCACCTCCATTCAAGTGCACTTTTGAATGTTTTGCGAACTTATTTAGAAGTTACAAAAGTATGGCATTCGTTTCGTTTGTAAAAATTGGAAACTCTAGTCATTTGGTGAATATAGACCAAGTCGGTTGTTTATTCACAGATTGCGGGGCTGTGTAGTTGTTTAGTGACGTCAAATGTACGAATTAGAAGTTCTTTGTGCCATGTATTGATATGATAAATGTTATCTAGTTTCGATATTGATAGCAGGTTATACCTGAGTAATCTAAGTGTTATAAAAGTGTTACTTTATGTAGAAATAATTTGGTAGACTGTGTTACTACATTAGTGTTTAGTGTTGGTGTCCCAGGTCCCATTACTGTTGTTATTATGTAAGTTGTTTATATTGTGATAAAAATGTTTATATAACAATGTGATAGCTTGATAAAGTATGCTTCAGAATTTATTTAACTTCATGAGTATAGAAATAGGTAGCAATTAAAATGAATCAATATGATAAATTATTGAGAAATAGAATTAAACAAGTATTTTTAATGAGAATATAAACAGTATGTAGTACTTTAGTTAATAAACTACATAACAACTTCTCTCTACACTTACTACATTAAATTAAATACAATTTTAGCCTCATGTCAGTCACCAAAGTTTGTAACACTAATTCAACAGGTTGTTATCATTTGTATGCAATTTTTTTTTAAATGTCTAATATTTTATGTGTGCAAATTACTATAAAAACTATACCATATATTTAATCTATGACACAGTTTTTCTGTATGCAAAAAAAATGAACTGATGATCATGAAACAAACATGATCACCAGTTTATTCTTATTATAGACTAGCTGTACTCACAACTTTGTCAGCGTGGAATTTAACTTTATTTTTCTAAAACAAAAGTAGCCTAAGTTACTCCTTATTACATCAGCTACATGCCAATAAAAGTCCCGTCAAAATCGGTCCAGCCATTTCAGAGATTATCCACAACAAACAGACAGACAGACAAAAATTTAAAAAAATTTTATTTTGGTGTATGTACCATATTTATATTCATATTCATAAGCATGTAGTAATTAATGGTTATTTCAATATTACAAACAGGCACTCCAATTTTATATCAGTACCAGAATCCTATGAAAACCCTTTTTTTAATTTTGAAATCATATTTATTGAAACAAGATAAAATTATGCACAATTAGGATACAGAATAATATAAATCACAGATAAGAACACAGTTTTTTTAATTACATTTCTGGAAGCAATCTTAGACAGCAGATAAACAACTAATAAGATTATTCGATTCAAATTCAAAATATCTTCATTCATGTAGGTCTATTACAAACTTACGATATGTCAAATCTACTGTCAGTTCGGAATGATTTTGAGATGAGAAGAACTGACAAGAAACTCAGCTCGTATTCTTTTCAAATTAATATTATACATGTTTACAATATTATGAGAATTATTTTTTTAAAAATAAACCATCCACATTATTACTCTTTTAATGATATTAATAGTTATTTAAAAGTCTTGTTTTATTTTATTTTATACATGTATTTATAAATACTGTAAATTTGTATCTATTATTTTTTTTATTGTTTTTCCCTATTGAGTCATTGATCGATGATTGCCCTGTGATCAACAAGGAAATTTTATTTTTAATGTATTATTAAATAAAAAAACCCAGGAAATGACATTATATAATAATAATAATAAATAACTCACTTGATTTTGGGCCCTAAGTGTGGTAAAAAAATCAGTAAAAGCCGTGAAAATATAGTGTAAATAAGAATAATAATAAAAAAACCTTTATGTCAAATTTACAAATGTATACATAAGTTTTGCTGTAACTGTGTTCCTGTTAGTTTATAGTTTATTAAATAATTTTTCTTTTTAATAAAACCAACAAATGACATTTTATAATTGTAAACCATTAATCATCATCATCATCATCATCATCATCATCATCATCATCATCATCATCATCATCATCGTCATCGTCATCATCATCATCATAATCATCATAATCGGAAGACGTCAACCTTACTATATGTGGAAAATCCTTAATACTCTCAGCAAATTTCTCCCAGCCATTTCTAGCCTTATTGTAAATACAAATATGTTTCAAATTCAAACTAGCCGTTCCCACCACTTCGTCCGCGTGGAAGAGTGGCCTTGGATAGCATAAATCATTTAATTTTTAGTGGATGGTTAGATTAATCTTAAAGTAAATAAGTTTAGAATTGCGACTTTGAAGTGGCAATGGGCAGGGCACATAGCTCGTAGGACAGATGGCCGTTGGGGCAGTAAAGTACTCGAGTGGCGACCACGGACCGGAAGACGCAGCGTGGGAAGGCCTCCAGCAAGGTGGACCGACGATCTGGTCAAGATCGCGGGAAGGCATTGGATGCGAGCAGCGCAGGACCGATCGTCGTGGAGATCTTTGGGGGAGGCCTATGTCCAGCAGTGGACGTCTTCCGGGCTGCGATGATGATGATGATGATGAAATAAGTTTAATATTAAAGATAAATTCTTTACTAACTATATAAAAGTATATGTTGTGTATAAATTGTAAATAAGCTGTTTCTAATCTGGAAGGATAAAACTTTTTTCCATGGCTTTTTAATTTTTTTCATTTTATTTTATTATTAGGTACATAAAATATAATGAAAAAAATTTAGAAATGGAAAAAAGTTTCATCCTTCCAGCTTCGAAACTGAGGAACAAACTTTCATGCCCTATTTTATTTTACCTCCTTAAGGGTAAAATTTTTAAAACTTTAATGTCATATTTATTTATATTTTATCAACAACCTAAAAATTATCTTTAATATTTTTTAAATTATGTTACTTCCATACAACCTTCCATCTCCACTTTCAACCACTTACAACCCGTTTCGCAATCAAAAGTAGCCTATGTCCTTTCTCAGGGTCAAGACTATCTGTGTATCAAATTTCATCCAAATCGGTCCAGTTGTTTTGCCGTGAAAGCGCCACAGACAGACAGTTACTTTCGCATTTATAATATTAGTAAGTAAACATTCAGACTGATACAAACAATCGTGCACCTGAATAAAAATGTTTGTACCATTCAGTAGTTTTGGCGCGACAGACGGACGGACAAAATTACTTTCGCATTTATATTAGTAAGGAAGTAATGGTAAATATTGAATATTTTAGGAATATTAAGGCAGTCTCACACTCACTAGCAGCGCTGTAAACAGCAGATCAAAGTCTACTTATATATTTACATCTGTTACGTCTGTGGTTGGCGTGTTGTTAAGAAGGAGTGAATAGTAATAAAAGACTTTAGAAACGACAAGGTATATAATATTATGGGACACAGCATGCGAAACGGCAGACTAAATAATCTTTGTGACATTGACAAGTAGATAGATGGATGGACGGAACTGACGTAGCTGGAGTTTGGAGCGAAAAGTTTGGAGTATTTATTATTATAAAAACAAATAAGAGATGGTAATTGTGAATATTGTAGGCATCGTGGCATGGGACAATTGAGGAATGGAAGAGAAAAACATTACGCCGACCCCAAATAAATGGGATAAGGAAGAAGCAGATGATGATGATGATGATGAGGGGTATGGGACACAGTCACCTAGATACATCAAAATAATAATTGCATTTAATAATGTCTAGTAAGACAAATTCAATACAGTCTACTAAGCACTGCTGTGTCCAAACTGTGTCGCCCCACCTTACATTTTCCTATTGTCATTTAGTATATAAGATCAATATTTCTATGTACACATTGTCAGTCTATTACCATCTGTAATATACATCGTCTACCAACAACATCGTATCATTTACCCGCAACAGTGGTAACCCCGACGTGATTTGAACACGCAACCAGAATAATATATATATCGAATAAAAATAATAAATAATAATTTATGTAACAACGTATTAAATCAGTCATTAGCTAGCGAAACTATTTGACATTTAGATAATATACAGGGTGATCCAGAAGTCACTTTACATTTTGAAAATTAAATAACTTTTTTTCTATTAACATATATTTTTTTCTATTTTCAGAATTAAAAAATATAATCCCTGGAAATTTTTATCATGGATAAGTTTACAACAGAACAGCGAGTGAAGATAATTGACAAAATGGATGGTCAGTTGTTGCAACTTTAAAACCATATGCGCCATTTGATAAAAATGATAAAAATTGATAAAAAATGTTAGGTTTAGATTTTTGTCGAATTCTGAAAAATGAGAAAAAGAAATACTTTTGCGTTGCAAAAATTGACCATCCATTTTCAAAGTAAAACTCAATTATCTTCACTCGTTATTCTGTTGTAAAATGTATCTGTGTTATATGGCTAGTTAATGCAAGGAGGTCGGTAGCTTTTACGTCAGTATACATATACATTAAACTAGCTTTTGCCCGCGACTTCGCTCGCGTTAATTTATCCCCTTAGGGATGGAATTTCTCAAAATCTTAGAGGATGTCATAGTAGATTTATACATGCACAGTCTCAGCCCGATCGGTTTAAAATTGACAAAGTTTCATACAAACTTTCAGCCCCTATTTTATCCCCTTGGAGGTAGAATTCATCAAAATCCTTACTTAGCGGATGCCTACGTCATAACATAGTGTGAAAGGCAAGTTACGTATGCAAGCATCAAATATACAATGTGTATCACAGTTTATTGAATATTAATGAGTTATGATTGTGTTGGAATTTACTATTATGCATAATCTTTGTATATATATAGTAGATTTATGCATGTCACAATGTTACTCACCATACTCCTCGGACTTAAAATTGACAAAATTTTTATATGAATATTCAGTATGTCAGAATCGGCTACTATTTTTTATACCCCAAAGTAATAAGGATTGTCCAACTTTAACATTATTTATTATTTTTGGGCCAAATTTTTTAT